AAAAAAAAAAAAAATTAACCCCGAGATGGTTGAGAGAATAGGAACATTCGCCAAGTTAGGAGATGCCAGTTATGTTCGGGAGTACTATATATATATATATATATATATATATATATATATATATATATATATATATATATATATATGTATATATATATATATATCAGGGTGTCGAACCGAACCGGAACCGAACCGGTATTTTTTCCGGAACTGAACCCGAACCGTTATATTGTTATCGCGATGAACCCGAACCGGAACTGAACCGGAAAAAGAATAACGGTTACCGGCTCATGTCAAAACGGTTCGGCCACGCGCTGTTGACAATGAATGTGCTATCAATGCCATTTGTTTTCTAAGTGCCGTCAACTGACACACACCTCGCTTACATATTTTTCTTCTCCACTCAGTCTTAGGAATATAAACGCTGCATCCATGAATCTTGACAAACGCTGCATCCACTGATCTCAATGATCAGTGGCTGCATCCATGAATCTTGAGATAGGAACCAGTATTGCGCTGGTCGCGGCTTGCACGGAAGAAAGAGAATTAAAAGGCTGTTAAAAAAAAAAAAAAAAATCGCGTCACGGGATTTCATTTTCCTACAATCTCGTAAATCCTAAATGCTGCTGTGTGCTCGTTTCATAACACGTTTCTAGAACACGCGAGTTCTTGAAGCTTGCTTCCATCGGAATTAGAAAAGAAAAGGCTGTGGAGTTTGATAATAATGCATCCGGTTTCGTATAGGCACTTAGAAGCTAACATATTTGTGAGACAGCGAACTCTTCTCTTTTAATATTTATCCTATTACGTCTTTCTGGCGTTGCGTTCGGTGAAGTGTTTTTCATATTCCGTATCTTGTTTAATGAAAACTTCTTTAAGGGTCTAATTTGAGTTACCGAAGGCTAGTTCAAATAAAGAAAGCTGTATTTTCTCCCCACTGTTCCTTCAATTGCTTACACGCCGAGGTGGCGGGATAGTTAGCGAGTTCTACTTGTAAGTGGGTTTGTAAGGAGGTCGCGGATTTTACAGCTACTGCGTCGGACCCAATTAGATGAAGTCCGAATGCGTAAAGGTCGGTGAGGTAACCTTTGAGTGCACATAAAGAAACCATTCCTGGTAGAAATCCCTAAGACTTACACTACGATGTATCCCGTTTCATATGTGCTGATTTCAGATGTTTTATTTGTAACTTATTTTGATGTTGCAATCTGTCATTTATAATTTCCGAACCGGTTCAGCGCCCCGAACCGGTTCGCGAACCGGTTCGCGGATCGAATTAATCGAACCGGAACTGAACCGGAACAAAATAAATTTACCTGAACCGTAACCGAACCCGTATTTTTTTCGGTTCGACACAGTGATTTTATTCTTACACATTTGTTTAAAAAAAAAAACCGTGAAAGCTACACTAATGCGGTTTGTGCAGGTGGGTTATACGGCCAGGCGGAGAGTATGTGGGTGGCTAATCTTTGCGATAAGTTGGCTAATTAATTAAAATTCGTTAATTAACTTTTTAATTCGTGGAAATAGACATATGGTTCCAATTAGAAACTTGCAGAGTATCATCGAAAACCACTAAATCTACTATTTTTGGAAGGATATAACGCCGGGGCAGCACTTTACAGCGTTCTGTAAAAACGCTCCATTTGGACGCGTTTCTAGATTTCGGTTTCTTATCGGAGCGCATCACCGCGCCCGCGGTCCTGCTCCCCAGTAGCTGAGACGCGCAACACGCGTGCGCCCTACCCTCCATTCTACGAAGGAGGCGAGGAGGTGGTTTCGCGCCGCGAGCACCAGGGAGCAGGATCGCGGGCGCGTAGATGCGCTCCGATAAGAAACCGAAATCTAGAAACGCGTCCAAATAGATCGTTTTTACAGAACGCCGTAAAACGCTGCCCCGACGCTATATCCTGCTAAAATTAGTTGATTTAGGGGTTTTCGATGGTGCTCAGCAAGTTCCTAATTAAAACCATATGTTTATTTTCAGTAATTAAAAAGTTAATTAACGAATTTTAATTAATTAGCCGACTTATAAAGATTAGCCACCCACATACTGTCCGCCTGGCCGTATAACCAACCTGCACAAACCGCATTAGTGTAGCTTTCACGTTTTTTTTTTAAACAAATGTGTAAGAATAAAAAAAAAACACCCTGTATATATATACACACAACGGGAGTGGTGGCGGCAGGCCGAAGGCGTGGGCATATAACTGAGAAGAAAAGACCCTTAGTGAAAACCGCAAACGTTTCGGCCGGAGTCCGGCCTTCCTCAGGAAGGGCCTTTATCAGGAAGTATATATATATATATATATATATTTTTTTTTTTTTTTCTATGGAGCCATTGAAAGTTGAGAGGTCTAAGCGTAAATCTGATTTGGCAACAGTTTCGGTGCGAGTTGGTGTCTCGACCTTTCTGAAGTAAAAAACAAAAAACCTCTTTTGCCTGAATGTCTTAGTTTTTATTTTAAAAATGGACAAAGATTCATGTTTTCGGCACCTCTCAACTACTTCACCATCTTCCGAGTGACGTGCGCTGTGGCGTCAATGGGGGTTGCGCGGGGTTCCGGTAAAGCTCGCTCTAGAGCCATCAGTGAGCAGCAAGAACTCATCTGCTCGCGACCGCTTGACCATGTGCTGGCGGGCGCAGGAACAATATGGTGAAAAGAGGAAACTCGCGAAAGACTCACCCGGGTCCGGCCATACCCGTCCGGCTGTCCCCCTCTGGCTTCTGGCGTTCGCGGTAGCAGATAGGGCTGACGCTTTTGTGAACCTCGGATAGGTGATGGCGCCACTAAAACTCCGTTTAATCAAAGTTTTGTCGATGACACCATGTGTTTGACACATTTATATTTATGTTGGAACGACAAGATTTATAGAAAAGTTACCTTTTATCGAGCAGGTATTCGCACAACTTGCTATCTTTCTACAAGTCCCCCATTGACATCACGCCGCGTGTTTCTCATGGCCGCCGCTCGCGGCTGCAGGTCGGGGAATATTCTAATTTCGCGATTACGCGGCGGAATCGCAACATTTCGAAGGAAGGAGGTGTGTTTTCTGTCCTTTGTGACAATATGAACAATGTCAAAAGTAGAAGGTGCCAATTCCTTCAACGTTAAAATCGTTGCACAGCTCCTTTGTTGTTTTGTTTGCTTGTCTGCTGCGAGACCTACACAACGGCGTAACTAATGACCGCGAGCGACGACGTTCACAGTTGCGCTCTAATTAGTCCTTTGTGACGTACGACACGGCTTAGTACTCTCAAGCTTGCTTTTGTAATGAACACCTGGCAGGAAACAAGCAATGCAACGTTTTCCTGGCCACGCGCTCAACGCAGACCAAGCGTAAAAATGCGACTATTACCGCCTGCGTGCAAATTACAAAGAAAAGCAAAACAAACAAAAAAAAAGTCAGAAAACACGTTTATGTAGCAGTGTTCCAGCACTGTCGTCTGCTTTTCCTCGACTTTTTTTTAGAGAGAGTTTTTTGTTTCTAACTTGTGGACGCGTCGTCTGCAACCGGATAGTCTTACTTCGTTTCGGATTCCACCAACACCCAAACCCAATCCTTGCCCAAACCAGCATATTTTCTTTACTGGAAGAAAAAAAAAAAAAAAAAAAGGCGTCAACGCAAGTATTCGTCTGGCGACCAACTACACGTTTCGGAAGAAAAACAGGTCACAAGATCTAACTCGACCAACGACCAGCTGTGGTTGGGGAGGTCTTTGCACGAACTACACGCGACGCTCTCTTTTCCGAGCGGGTTTGACGGCCTTGGAAGCGTGCCGAATCCTGCAATTTACCTGTCATTATGTTCCCTTTGTAGTACGTACCTTTGTAGTAGCCTCTGCGGGGGGTACGACTAAGGAAGTAAAAAAAAAAAAGACAACCAACTCGTCATAACCGGCTACTCCCCTCCCTTCCGACGGTCCGTACATGCACTTCAAGGCCACAGTCGTCGCAAGTTTGCTCCCTTCTGCTGCAACGTTAGAGTGGTGGTGTTGGCTTCACCGCAAGGCTCGCGGGTTACTATAACAATTTCAGGTATGTGAGACCGTTTGCTGAGAGAGTTTTCGAGCTAAATCTATCGGCGGTGGTGTACGGTAAACGCAGAAACGGTGCGCTGCTGGCGGAAAAGCAGGGTCGTTTCGTTAGACGAGAATTGATCTTCGGTATGATTTTTGTTTGTTTGTTTCACTGTCGGATGTTGAACGGACGTGGTTCTGAGAATGTGAGCTGAATCACAGCCGGTCGTGGCTTTGAATGTCGGTATGGCGGTGGGATATTCGTTGGGAGGGACGGTTTTTTTAGAGGTTTGATCAAATCGATTTCGCATTTTTCTGTTTTGTTTTGCTTCCTTTTCAGTTTTTTTTTTTTTTTTTTTTTTTTTTTGTATTTTTGGTAGATGCAGTGTAGCCTCCTTTCTGAGGTCCACTTCTATTGATAAATTTTGCGTACATATTTCCCGCAAAAAGGTTATCCTCTTTTTTTTTTTTTTTTTTTCTTTCTTTCAAATGTATATTTCAGATTCTAGTTCGCCGGACGTCAAATACCAAAGAAGCCATCCCACTATAAGATCGCAGCTTTGATTACATAATCCAGCGTCGCGCCCATCCAACTGGAAATACCGAGCGCGGCCGCGGACACTAAAAACAAAACGAAACAAAAATCGATCGATTGCTCGCGTCCTAAAAAGGACCAGTCAAAAACAAAATTAATCTTCGCGTCTGGGCGAACAGCGCATTTCCGCTGCGCGCTTTGCGTGGACGGGCAAACATACAGCAACCTGTTGCAGCGGCAGGAAATCTGCCCATCCAAAAGTTCGATTTCTACTATTATTTTATTTTTTCCCCCGGAACGTTATTCGACGCAGACGACGTCGGAGCCACGGCGTCGTCTGCAACTACGGAGAACACGTGCTGGTGCTACGCGTCTACCGTTGGCCCGTTGGCACAGCTGCGCTAGCTACGCGTTGGGGGTCGCTGACGGCACATGTGACGTCAGTTACGCAGCTTTGGTCCACGGCTGCTGTCTGCCTACGCCGAATGCGCTTACTTGCTTTTGGAGACGGCCGCGAGCTGTGTTGTGTTCGCCGTCGTCGTCGTACCATCTGTCGACACCTCTGCGCTGCGGATCGCCCTTGAAAAACCGCTCAGAGGAACAAAAAGAAAAGGTGATTTATAGTTTTTCTTGGCGCGTGTTTTCCGAAAACTCCGTCCTTTCCACCTGATTAGTCTTTTTTGAGTGAAATGCGTGATGCGTGCACGTGTCGGTGCTTCGGGAGGTTGGCTTTGTCGCAGGACTCCGGCGTACTGCGGTAAAAAATGCCACGCAGGCTGAATTTTTTTTCTTTTTTTCTCACGGTTTGTTATTGCAGTTGAGCCGTGTTGATGCGGAACATGAGTGGTACCTGATTGATATTGCAATATGGCGGTGATTGGGGTGCGGTAATGGCAATACGTAGCGGTGTTCACGCGTGTATATTGAAATGGTTTTGTTTTCCCCTTCGTGCATTGCGGTGAAGCGAGCGGTACTGGAGTAATATTGCGGCGCGTTGTTGTTCAGTTTTAATTCTTTAAGCATCGTAGACATCTTTAAAAGCATATGGCCATAGTGTTGGCCAGAGAAGTGAACCAATCTCAATGCATAAGCATATGAATTATTGTGGATTTTTTAATCAGTACACACTCATTAATTAACATAAGGTTTGGGATTGTTGCTCATTAGATGCTGGCGTACACATAGGCAACAAATACACCTTTCTCTGGCTCGGCATGCCCCGTCGTTTGTGACAACCCTAAACTGCCACCACATAACTTTTACTACTGTGACATTTTTACTGCCTAGCTAATGCTTGCTAGAAACAAATTGCTACTGTAAAATTCTTAAGGCCCGTTTACACCCTTGCAACCGAGTACTACCGAGAGAGACAAGACCAGTTGAAACCTCTTAAAATTTCTTGGGACGAGAGAAAACACTGGCATGCTGGCGCCATCTATGCGGTGACCCTCGAACTGCATTTCACAAGAGCAAAGGTTTTGCGGGATTTCCGAGGTCAAATGTGTGTAATACCTATGAGAAAGGCTCGTTTATAACGTTGACAAAAGTTTTTCGAGTCAAGAAAGAAAGGATAATGCGCGAGAGAAATAGAAAATATGTGGGACCACCAAGTTTCCACTGCTACCCAATAGATGGTGCCAGTGTGTCCTCTCGCTGTAAGAGATATTAAGAGGTTCCAAGGCACTCACTTTTCAGAAGTCTCAAGTGTCTAAATGGTCCCTTAATTTTCGCAAATTGAAAATTACGCAAAATTTTAGGGCACGAGAAAATTTCGGTCCTTAAGAGTTTCAATGCAGGCATCTGGAATTTGCGAAATATAGTGGCTGCCATTATGTCGTCTGTGACCAATTCAGGAAAAATAGGGACCACGAAAATAAAGGGTTTTACAGTATTTTACAGATTTAAAGCAACAAGGTTTTGCAAAGGTTGACGGGATAACTCCTTCAATAAGAGGGTTTGCAAAGTGGTGCCATGTATGCGACAGCATTTTCAATTCTTCGGACACGGATCATACATAACTGGTACTACTATTGATAAATTTACTGCCTAGCTACTGCTTACCAGAGAGAAATAACTACTTTACAGATCTAAGGTAAAGAGTTACACAAAATTAAAGCGATAAGTTCTCCAAGCTGGCTTACAAATTGGCGCCAGGTCTACGACAGTATTTTTTGTGCCTTTTACGCAGGTCATGCTAACTGCCACAAGCTCCACGCTGCGGCGGACGTTACGGTCATCCGTAGCCGTCGCGAGCCGCTACACTGCCGTCCGCAGTACTTCCCAGGGGTCGACGGAGGGAGACACACCACGGGTACTCATCACAGGTCGGTATTACTTAAGACTACGGTTTCGTGTTTTTGTGCCAGTGTCCCGTTTGCTTCAACAAAAGCCCCAGTAAACGTATGTCTCTTTGTCCCAAACCAAAGACCACTGAATCTGTGGAAAATAAACCACGAAAAAACGCCCCTGAATACTACCCAAAATAATCCTCAAAAACAGTGCGATGCACATGTTGTGTTTTATCCCAAATACTAGCGTGCGTGCTATTTGTACACTATGAAGTCGGTAACACGGAACCCTAGTGAAGACGTGGATTGATTGCAAGGGTAAAAAATTGAGCACTCTTATCAAAGCGAGCTGGTACGTTAACGTTCACTGTGAACGGAAGCTCAGTCTATATCATCGTGAAACATGGCTCACGTTTGTAAGCAAAGTGTTGTCGTGCCGCGCGCAGTTCCATCTTCTTTCTTTTATGAAGCAAGAGGTTTATGCCCATTGCATCGTTTCCCTTTCGCAGGAAGCCTGGGCCAACTCGGAAAGGGCCTAGCTCGGTTACTTAGGTGAGTTGGAGTCTCTGTCGCACTCCCGGTCAGCGACAGCTGGCAGCTCGTCTTGCCTTTCATTGTTGCCTGGAGATTGCAGAAAACGAATAAACTTGTGTCCGCAGGCAAAAGTATGGCAAGGACAACGTCATCATGTCTGACATTGTGCGGCCACCCAAGGAAGTGTTCAACGAGGGTGAGTCGGTTGCGTGTTTGTTTGCTTGACCCCCTGCAGACGCCATGTACGTACATTGCGAGGTGAACGTCGACATTTGATTTTATGAATCTAAATGTACTAGCAATACTGGCCATGTTGTAATCCGTACAATGATCCTTTGACCTACGAACCGATCGAAGCGGTCAACAAACTCGTTGTGGAATTAAACCGGTTGGTATGCGGCAGCAGAAAACGTGAGTGGCACGTTTGTCTCTTGTAGTCGTCGACTTCAGAGCCAACGGAGGCCCAACTCTCTGCAGAAGTTTCAGTTTCGCATGTCCCTGCTAGTTCTCGTATGCTGTACGTTTGCAATCTGAAGAAATACTCGTCCGAAAATTCTGTAAGAAAAAGAATCCATGCGTTTTAATCCTAGGGATTAGGTCGAAAGACACAAAAATGTGCAGGATATCTTGAGCTGTGTGGGGCGTTTATTTACGAGGGTTTTCCTCAGAACGTTGTACCCGCAATGTGTACGGCGAGCACCGCGCGTATTGTGGCTGTCATACATACAGTGCGTACGACAGTTGCGAGGTCACTGCGGGTCACCCGGTCATGTGATAGGTGTCACGCGACCAACCTCCGCTAAATCTGGGGAGGGTGCGTTTCCCTCACAATTCGACGGGGAAACCTGAATTGGCGTAAAATTGTGCACACCAATTTGATTTCCTCGCTAAATTTAGTGAGGACTTTTGTTGCCAAATTCCGTCACACGCTTCCAATACACGTACCTGGGACATTTCGTTATGAAACCGAAGCCCTACATGCACATACACATTCTGCACAAGCGAGAAAAAGATGTCTGCTCAAAGTGGGTAGGGGTCATAGCAATATAAGTCTATGGCCTCGTCCTTCGTTTTCGCGGTAGCCGGGGGTTCCACAGGATCGACATATCCAAGCCTATCCAGCGTAGGCCACAAGTCTCTTGTAAAGGGCTCGCTCGTCAAAGTCATTGCCGACGCGATCCCTGGCAGGTCCCTTCATCTACGCGGACATCCTGGACTTCAAGAACCTCCAGGAGATTGTGGTGAACGAGCGGGTGGACTGGCTCATCCACTTCAGCGCTCTCCTGTCGGCCATCGGCGAGCGCAACGTGCCGCTTGCCATGCGCGTCAACGTGGAGGGGGTCCACAACGTCATGGAGCTGAGCAAGCAGTACCGGCTGCGCCTCTTCGTGCCCAGCACCATCGGGGCCTTCGGGCCGGACTCGCCGCGCCACCTGACCCCCGACCTGTGCGTACAGCGTCCCCGGACCATCTACGGAGTGTCCAAGGTCCACGCCGAGCTCTTGGGGGAGGTAACGCTGGTTCCATACAGTCTCCATGTCTTAATCGAAAGTTGCTCAATTTGCATACCAGTGATGTGATTGGCCTAAGCCATTTTGGCGCACGTTCCGGAGCAACCAAAACAGTCTTTTGGAGCAGCAAATGTGGCCTTTGGAGCAACCAAAACAGTGTTTTGGAGCAGCAAAAGCGGCTTTTGGAGCAGCCAAGACAGTGTTTCGGAGCAGCAAAAGTGGATTTTGGAGCAGATATTCTTAGGAAAATAAATATATTTGTTTTAAGTGCTGTACAAACGAAGGGCACTTTGTGTTGCGTTGTGTTCTGATGTGACGTGTTGTGATAGAACTCGCTGCTTCTGTTTTTACTGCTCAGACATCCCACAAGTGTACAGTGCTGTAGGCATTGCCAAGCAATTTCGAAAAACCGCTTGCCACCGTTTTACTGGTTTCCGACGAGCCAGATTTTCGTCAAAAGTAAGCAAACGTAAAACAATGAATCGCAAGCGTCCCAGCTGGTGCCTCAGTCACGCATTCATGTTCGCATGCATGTGAGGCAAACTTCGGCAGGCTTGCTGTTGGGCATACTTCGTCGCGCGAGTGCGACGAAGTATGCCCAACGCAAGCGCAGACAACTGCTGTCCGATCGAAACCGAAACCATGCCCCTCACTCCGTCGCTAACTTATCCCCAAAATTGTACACAAAATGTAACTTTCGAGCATGCGACAAAAACAGTCCAGTGGTGCGGGCTTGCCAGGCCGGCAAACAAGGTACAAGCTAAACACACAAAAAATAAAGAACCTGAGCGCATCGATGCAAGACATTGCGAGCCTGCCTCAAAACATTCTTGGAGCACTTTGTGCAATGACTGAACTCGAGATAAACAAGCACGCTGTGCGGGTTCAGCGTGCAGACATTGCCTTCTTTGCTTTAGCTCACTTCTCTTCACCAACTTTATTTCACGGCAGATTTTTCGCGTGCTGAGGTACCTCTCGAAAGAAAGCCCACCGAGAGAAACCTAGGTAATCAATACTTTGACAGAGCAGTCTTTAAATTAAAAATGAATTTTTGTAGTAACGAATAATTTAAACAGAACAGGAATGTTGATGAACATGCGGCGGTACTTAGTTTCATTTTAAAAAGTACCATATCTGCAGTGATGTGAGGACGGCAACATTCGACGTCGTGCGGCCACAGCGACTGAAAGGCAATGATCAAATATAGTTTTCCCACGGCCGTTGCTTCAGCTCACAAAGTAACTCTTACGGCGCAGAAACGTGGTTCCGTTTCACAGCATGACGGCATGGTACCCGGCACGCTAGCGTCGGAGCGTCTGCACACATCCGCGTCTATCACTGAAAATATAAAAAAAGAAAAAGACGAGTGACGAAACCCACAAGACGAGAGCGCGAAACGCGAGACGCCGGGAAAACCATGCAAGACCGGGTGGACAATTGATGCACGTTACTTTGTGCCAGGCGGCCACTTGCGCCACATAACACACGCCTGCTAACACACGCCTGCTCCATTACAGTACTCAGTTTAGTTTCGGTTTTGAAAGGCGACCTAAATTGGTCCTTTGGCGCAGGCTTGGCACAAATTACCCATATCTTGGCGAAATGTAGCAGGATGTAGCAGGGTTAGCCCCTTGGCGCAGTTTGGCGCAATTGGCACAGCAATCACATCACTGCAATACCCGCTGAGCCCGCGAGCTCCTCAGGTATTGCTTCCCCGCAGTGCATAGGTGCTGGGTGAGAAGCGCACTCAACGGGGCCAGCCCGCCGCGATTAATACTTCGAAAAGTATGAATATCGCAGTTACCTCGAAGTGGATATCGAACTGCGTAGTGTTCAAAACTACTATTCGAAAATTTGAATATTCGCACAAAACTATCGATGAGACATGACTGTCGTAGCTTAAACTCGAGGTGGGGCAATTGGTGGTTGGGCATGCACTTCAGCTCGGAGCACGCGAAGCGAAAGCTCGTACTGCAGGACTCGGGGATCTGGAGTTCAGTACCCAACCCTGGCCCTTTCAATCTGGATGAGCATAGTACCAGTGTCTGTTTGTTCAGTCACTATTGCATGATGCACGTTAAAGGGATGCTGAACCGAAATCTCCACAAAACACGCGGCAAAAGCGTGCAATGGGATGCTGCAGACACCAAAACATTACACATAAAGCGATATCTCGAACGGATGACCATATTTTTTAAGAAAAGGAGGCGCATTTGACAAATTTTCTCGTCATGTTTTTTCGAGAAGGAGAGGGAACGGCCTCGCGTCTTCTCCATCTCGCCGCCTTGAGGGAGCGAAGCGAAGAGAGGAGGAAACTAGGTATCTTGACGATCACGCGCCTCGTCGGCCTGGTTCAATCTCGACCTCTTTTTCCCAAAATACGGCCGTCCATTCGAGATATTGCCTTACAAGTAGTGTTGTGGGGATTGTAGCGTCCCGCCTACAGCTCCTGCATTGTTTTTTTTCTAAAATCCGAATTTCGGTTCACCATCCCTTCAAAGACCCCAGGCTAACAGTGGTACTGCACTGGCTAAATTTCTCATCTACAGTGGAAACACCAGACGCCCATTGGGGCTGACCAACTTCTGTTGTCTGAACATACGTGCAACACAATTCCTTCCTACCCGAAGCCCACATGTCTGCTTTCTGGCATAGTGGCTAGGAGCAGAGCTAATCAGCTATTTAGAATGTCAGAAACAAGTCCCATGTTCCCTGGCGAATGACCCATAATTAAGTTTGTTTTAAGGGAAATCGACTTTTCGTCATAGAAGCGCCCGTACAACAACCAGGACAAACATTTTTCAGTACTACTACCACAAGTTTGGGCTGGACTTCCGTTGTCTTCGGTTTCCGGGCGTCATCTCCTACGACACAGAGCCCGGGGGCGGAACCACAGGTTCGGATGCACCGTCTGTCTTTTTCCAGAGCGAGCAGTCATTGCTGCCAAACTACCTATAGTAAGTAGGCTAGAAGGGGACGTGTGATGATTGCTCGCTTCTCCCAACGGCCGACATTGGTCCCACGCTTCATGCGTATCTATCACCATCGGCCGTATGGAGGCTAGCAGCAGCACCACAATGACCAAGGCCAGTTAATTCTTTCAAAATTTGGTTCTCAATAAAATAAAGCAGGCAACAAATATTAAAAAAAAATTAGGTGTCCTGCTTCTGTTTACGGTTGAAGAGTAACCCTACAAATTGTAATGGAATGTTGAATCCGCCCATTTTTGTTAGCATCTTCTCTTCCAGCCCTGCAGCGCATGGCGGCACTGCTTTTCGCATTCAGATTATGCCCTGCTCTGTAGACTCAAAAATTGTGGGACTGCTGTTACCTGCTTGACAGCCACACCTCCCCTTCTAGCTCATCAGAACCAAACTCCCGAGTCTTTCCAGTGGTAGCGTCATCGACGCTACCGCAGAAAAGCCAAGTTTGCAATTTCTAAGTTTTCAAGCCGCTCCAGAAGCGTATGTCACGACTCCCCTTGGGGCTGTGACCCACATTCTGGGAAATGCTGGCTTAAAGGGAAGCTACGGAGCTTCTTGGAAAAAATGAGTTAGAAGTGAATTCTAGAGTATTTTTACCCCGTGAACCCGAATACCCAAACCATTTGCTGCGTAAGTATTGTTAAACGCGAGAAAAACGCCAGAGACAGTCGCTGTCCGTGACGTCATCGACGGCTCTTTTGGCTGCCCAAGGCTAGGGAGGCGGGGCTTCAGTCCTATTTTGAAAATACTCGTATGGCTCTCCGGCGCATCGCATTGAAATACAATTTTGATGTCTGTTAATCTAAAGGCCAAATGAACGCAATTCAAGCGTTTTTTCTCAAATGTAGAAGTGCCCCATCTTCCCTTTAACCCTTCGAGTGCCGCCCCCGAATATGGCTGGGCATGTTCCCAGTTTGTTTTGGTTTGCTTCCCAACTGGGCCATCATTTCTTTTTTTTTTTTTGTGTGTGTGTAGTCGCACGTATGAGCAAGCGATGAAAACAATGTTCTCTCTCGTTTTGTCACTTCTTGAGAGCAAAATTTTTTTGCTTAGGCGACTTCTGTTTTGGCACGCTCCTTCGTTGTTACAGAGTGGCCATTCTACGCCGTTTACCTCTCGCTCCGTGGCGAACGCCGAGATGCAGACATAACTAATGTACTCGGTGTTCGACAGCGGTAGAAACAAGTAAGTTACAGATCTGAGTAAACAAAAGCCGCACAAGCCCGCTCAAAGGAGTGACCTCAGAGTGCAAGGTCGAGGTACCACAGCATAGTACCCATCTCGAAAAGTACAATACGAGCAATATTTCATTGGTTGGAGACATGCAGATATCAGTTAACTTTCTGCCCATAAAATAGTGCGTCTTTTATAAATGAATATTCTTCATAGAGCATGCTAGTGTTAGTGAGGCCAAACTCTCGTTCGGCATGCGGAAAAAGGAACCCGGCTTGCAAGGTGTCAACCTTCGCATTCTTTTCTCGGGGCAGACTATGCGGTGCAGGTGTTCCACGACGCGCTGCGGGAGGGCAAGTTCAGCTGCTACCTGGAGCCGGACACGCGGCTGCCCATGATCTACATCACGGACTGCCTGCGGGCCTTGGTAGAGATGATGGAGGCTCCGTCGGAGGCACTGAAGCTGCGCACATACAACGTCACCGCCATGGACTTCACGCCCGAGGAGCTCTTCCGCGAGGTCCGCAAGCTTGTGCCCGAGCTGGAGGTGGTCTACCGGCCGGACGGCAGGCAGAAGATCGGTGAGCGATGCCTTTCTCAAAGAGACGCTGAACACCCGAAAATCTTTCTTCGTTAATCAATGCGTGGATGGGACATGCGCTGAATTTTTTTGCGCTATCCACCTCCGCAGATAATGCGGTAGGCATTCGGCAAGCAGGGGGGGAGGAGTCTGCCAGGATACGAAGTTACGGTTGAAATGTTGCCCAGATCTATTTTGTTGACCCAATGTTTGCTATGTCACCAAAAACTAAACTTTTGGTGGGTGTATATCAATGATTTTATTCAAACAAAGTTAAGCTTGGGAGGCCTAGGAACGGGGCAGTTGCCCGCTCACTCCTGCGTATTACCCACACAATGGACCTTTTTCCAGTAAGGAGCGCCTCATGACGGTTTCGCCGCCTACTACAAATGGAGGGCAACCGGACTCGCCTTCTCCCATGGAAACAGATTAGTGTCGTAAGAAAACAGTGCCCCCCAAGAATGGCGAAAGAGCGGTCAAGGTCAAGGGAAAAGGGTGTGCACGTGCGCAGACGCTTACTGGAAAAAGGTCCATTAACCAGGCAAAACACTTTCCGGACCTTGTTAGAAACCGTATCTTTATTTCGAATACAATTCACTCGTTGCCGTAGTCGCTGCAGCTATCATCTGAGGTGCCTTCAAAGTCCCGGATGGCGTCGTCGCCCGTGCCGTTGAGTCGATCGTTGATGCGACACTTTGAAACTTGCCCGCATTATCTCGCCTGGAAAGGCTGCGGTCTTGCCATACCTCCGTCGACACTGCCCACTCGTGACCTTTCCCCTCCTCAAAGAGCATTCCGAGCGCTTCTTCGAGCTCGAAGCGTGCACCAGCCTTGGGATCGCAGAGCGATCTACAGCCGCCCTGCCGCTCTGTTTCCAATCTCTTCGGCGGCGGTAATGATCTTAAACTGTTGCTGCGCCATAAATGACCGTCGCCGAGCACAGCTCACGGTGAGTGCACGGCAGCGAACAAGATGAGGTAGATGTGATTTCGCTGGATGTAACGCCAGTCGGTGCAGTTTGACAACCCATGAGCTAGGGAAACGGCCGCAGCTGAAGTAAGGTCTCGTATTCCGTGTTCTAGTCGCACAGAGCGCGTTTCTGATTGGAGAATCGTATCTTGTCGCTGGATCTGGCGAGAGCATAGGTTTCACCGTGCGCTATGCTAGGTGAACAAACCAACAAACAAGCCCGTGCGTCTGTCATTGCTCGCAGCCGACTCGTGGCCACAGGTGTTTGACGACAGCAACGCCCGGAGGGACTGGGGCTGGAAACCCAGCTACAACCTGGAGCAGATGTGCAAGATCATGGTGGACAACCTCAGGCTCGTGTACAAGCGCTAGGGGGCGTCTCGGATCGTCTCAGATATGCATAGGACCGACGTAAGTTCCGGCGTGGACGGGGGTAGTTTCGTGTAGCGAGAAGGACCGGAATCATCTAGCAGATGTGTCTATAGTTGCAGACAGACAGAGAGAGAAAATTTATTGATAAGTACAGCGGGGAAGCCTTTTGGTCATCCCACCTCCAGCGCAAGCGCGATAAACCTTGGTAACACCTTAGCGTACTAAAAATATTAAAGAGCAACTCCACTTCATTTCAGAGAACAGCTCTTAGGCGCCCGTTTCGGCGTCTAGTAGCATCACCATCGGTGTAATTACCCTGCTAAATTTAGCGGGAAATTGAATTGGTGTTGAGGTCGCGTGACGTCAATAGACCATTTTAAAAAGTCCGTCAAGCAACATTGACGGTCACCACTGTTTGCTCACGAAGCGCGTGATTAGATCCGAGTTCATGCCAAACGCTGGCAGAGAACCTCGTGTCCAATAAATGCTCATAGTATGTGAGCAAGCAATGGCGGACAGGTGTTGGCGCAGTCTTTTGAAAAGAGTATTTTCCCTCTGAATCTAGTGGAGAAACTGAATTTGTCCATGAGTGACGCGACAGTCATGCGACATTATTTTCCCCGCTAAATTTGGTGGGGAAACTGAAGTGGTGTTGAGGTCACGTGGCATCAATTTTCCAGCTAAATTTAGTGGGGACACTGGGAGGAGGGGAGGGTATGGGGGAGGAGGACGAAAGGAAGGGAGGAGCAGAGGATGGGAGTGTATAGGGGAGGAGGAGGGGCATACCCTCCCCTCCTCGGGTGCTGCGCTCTAATTTTGGATTACAGGGATTTGTAAAAGCCCTTCAATTTTTGTTTTTGAAAAAAAAAAAATGCAGTCCTCACCAGTATCACCTAGGAAGACCACACATTAAATATTACGACATAGTTCCGTCTAAATGTTTCTTAAACAGTCCAACAAATTTTGCAACTTGCCATGTTGCCGAAATCGGCCGTCTCCAGCAGTCGAATTGAGGCGCAACCAACAGTGTGGGTGTAGCCAACATTGAGCTAAACGTCATCACCGTTGCCCCCGTAACGCTTGCCTGGAGAAGTAAAAGCAAGCAAAAAGGGGCAATGGTGATGACATTTAGCTCAATGCTGGCTACGCCCACGCCATAGCCTTGACTGCGCTGTTGGTTGCAGTTGTTTTTGGGCACTTTAAATAAAACTTACTATTGTAGAATACAACCGAGCGCCCACTAGTAACATTTCCCAAACTTGGGAATGCTGCAAATTATGTGTTAACTGCTCGATCTGATTAGACAAGTGCCCATGTCTAGATTCGCCCCGTTTTCAGTGAAATTGGGGCGAGTGCTCCCCTGGTATTTTACGGTACAGTATAGACCACTTACAACGTAACCGCTTATAGTGCAGGACCGGGTATAACGCGGCTTTTTTAAACCACCGGTTCGCCTCCCATAGAACTCCATGTAATTACATACCGTTAAAATGGAGGCGCGCGAAGGGAAATACCGGTTATAGTGCGGTTTCTCGAACAGCCTGCCAACCGCGCCGACACTAGATAACGGCGCTAGCCGTGAGCGGCAGTCGCGGGGCGAGGAGGTTGCTCGAAAAAGCGGGGAAAAGCGAAGAGGGAGGCTTCAGTTGCCAAAGCGACGGAGGGACGCATGCACGTGTCGTTCACGTGCGTGCATCCCTCCGCTGTGTTGGAAACAACCGCAACGACAGACCAATCGCAGGTCGAGGAGAAGTGTTCGAGCGCGTTTGCATGCCGGTCGCGGGCCAGCTGCTTCTATCCGCGAACATGGCGTCGGTTGTGATCGTCGTCGTAGACGGCATGGTGGAAGTTCATCGTTCTGCGTAAAAGGGCTATCCTTGACTGTGAATTTTCGTTGTGTGTCGCTATGATAACCCAGCACGTACTAGAAGGGAAGGTCCATCTACTCGTGCGGCGATGTTGTGGCGGCACTCTCAAGACGGCAGAAACGCCCGTGTCGTCGTGTTTGTTTACTTCGACTACAGTGGTGCTTTCTAAGCATTTGTGTTTGCGAACATCGCCCGGATTTCTTATTTGGAGCATTTCGTGCCTGTGCTCAAGTTGAAGGTATTATTGGCGCGTACCGTATAAAGGATGTGAATTTTCACGCGTTTTCATCGCCGGAGAAAAGTGATTAGGGTTAACATTCCCGAACGCTCGCAACGTCCGTCCGCAGCCCACGACGCCGTTAAAAGGCTGCGCCAGGCAAAAGTCACTCATTTCTTTCAAAATGTGTGACATACTTGAGAGAGAAGTGTACTAGTCTGGTGAAATAAAGACTTTCCTCAAACTAGGCTTTATTTTGCATCTAACATAGAAATAAATTCTTTTACAAAGGTAAGTTGTCTGATGGCATGTATTTTGGCCTGAAAAATTGATGTTTTGGTTATAGCGTGGTACCGCTTATAGTGCGGATTTTCGCGACTCCCGTGACATATGTTATATGCGGTCTACACTGTACTGCAGGGAAAGAAGTTCCCTGCCTATTTTTATTTACAAAATCATATACACGTCCAGTCCGGTCAGGAGCTGCCGGTGTTCTGAGCTCAGCCTCTCTGCTCGTTCTCCCTTGTCCACCTCTTCTTCCTTCGTCCCAACAGCCGGTTGCTACAGTACTATTAACTCGCAACTGTAACTTGAGTGCAAGTACAATAACAAAAAGAAACAAGTGAGAGTAGTTATAATCATGACGAAAACAAAAGAAAGAAATGGAAGGAACAGGATACATCAAAGCCAAAGCAGCCATAATAGACCATAAATAAAGTGCAGCGAGAAATGTCATTAAATAAAAGTAAAAAAATAACTTAAACAAAATTTAACAGAAATTTACAAAGGAAATTTACATTTCTCTCTGTTGTAATTGCAACAGAAGTTGCAAGTTAGCGCCAGTCCCGTCTTCGTGGCCATGTCCCCAACCGGCCCCTCGCACTATTTACGCTCGCTACACGTCGGCGTCTCGCAAGTCGGAGCACGACGGAAGGCGCCAAACAAAACAAGGAAGCAGACATATTTTAGAGCTACAACTGGAGAATTTTTTTTAAATCAAATAAAACAAAAACTACCTTGGCTCTTACTTCGTAGATCCCCGCTCGACGGTTGCCGTCTGCTTTTGTACCGTGCGACTCGACCGTACGACTGCGCTTGGCAATGCCACGTCGATTGGAACTTTGCATTGCGAACGAGTCCCGGTGTACAGCACGTGGATGACGCTTACGGCATGTGTTAGGAAGTGAAGCATCATATTGTGCGACAGGCTGCAATCGCCAGAGCTAAAGAATGTGTTCACGAGTTGGGCACGTTCCCGTGCGAGGTGGGACAGTCGCGCGTTTTCGAGCTTGAATTCAAATCTACTATGTTCTGAATCGTTCAATAGGCATTTTTTTGCCGTCGAAAGTTGCTAACTGGGTGTCGTGCTCTCTCTCCCCTTTCCGTTGCAGAGCAGAAGTGCAGAAGAGCAAGAAGTGCCGGTGCGTCCTCGTCACCTTCGCCCACATGCATTTTGACAAGCACGGTGTTGCCCCCGTTTACGACATTCCAACATGGAAGACGAAGCCCGCTCCCATATCCTAACAGAATCTCGCGAATGTAAAGAAAAAAAAAAAAGAAACGATACGAATCTTACAGCGAGGGAGCAACGGTTGACACATCGCTAGGAGGTTTAGCTTCCCTCTGCAGCATCGGACGCGTCGAAGCAGAGTCACCCAGTACATGGTCTTTCAGGTTGGGTTGCAGCTTCTACAATGCTAAGTCACCTGGCACGGGGTGACTCGGTGTTTAAGCGGAGGCTGTGACAGAATCTCACAATCACATTCGATGCCACGCGGGTTTTGTTACATGGCGCTTTTCCAAAAGCTAGGCCGCACATCCAAGGAAGTGTATTATTGGCCGGCCCGAATGTTTAGACAAGGATTGCGCGTGCCTTACACCAAGTCTTTCAAGCTTGCACTGCTGTGTGGCATCTTGCTCCATAGTCTTGTAACTTTTGCTTTTAAAAGACATTAATCTTTATTTTATATGCTCACAACTATATTCGCACATTCCTAGCCCTTGCGAACTGTGATGCCTTTTATAGTATGTAGACTTTAAATCACGGTGCAATCAAAATTAAGAGACAAGCCTATGAAGCTATAGCCATTAGTGTATGCTTGCTAGCCATGTATGATATAGTGGGCATTTTTAATCAACCAAGTTTGGATATTGACCAAATTTAAACCTCTAACTGATCTCCCCCAAAAAAGTATTTTTTTATGAATTAGAACATACCCTTGTGGCTTTATTGGTCACCACACTCCAGTTCGGACATATTTTCTAAACTGTGAATGATTTTTGCGCGCATAGACATTCCACCCATTTCACACTAATGCCAGAAGGCCCAGTACTTGGGACAGCGTAGAAATAAAAACTTCAATCAATGTGACGTGACAAGTGACAGAAAGGCATTCCGAGCTTCTTTACAAGTGTCGTTCAACGTTCGACTTTATTTATTTTTTCTTACCACCTCGAACACTTTCATAGATCATTAAAAGATGTGCAAGATTGACTGTCGAGGCTCTATACTTTCGGGAGCACAGGACGAGGATGATAAATACCGGCGAAAAGGGGACCACCGGACGACCTCAGTGTTCCATGGCCGTCTCCTCGGGCTCGGCTTCGGCTGCAAAATTAGCAGAACGAAATGACCGTCGCAAACGGGGCAACTACGACACACCAGCAACATCTGTGAAATATTCTTCCCTACCTTTGTTTTCGTACATACAGATGTCTAGAACCCGAGTCTCCAACTTTAGTTGCGTTCGAAGTCGGAAATCTCGCTTCCGGTCGGAACCGGATGCCCAAGTTTCGGAGCTTGCCGTCATCCGATTTAAAAGTCATAAGCGATTTTGTAAGTTTTCAAGGGAAGCGGCATTTGATGAAGCCTGGTGAATGCATCGAGATGGATGGCATCCGTTACTGTTACCGGGAATGGGCTCTGAGTTCTCAATCAAAATTAATATTTAAAAAACTTTAACTTCGGCATTTCCGCTTGTCAGTTCAGGCCAAATGCCAATTTATTTTTGTGGTGAGGAAAACAGTCCTTTTTTTCTTTCAGACACTCGGTATTTCGTGTAAATTTCGGACTTCAAGCTGTCCGAAACATCTGACGTGAATATGCACTATTTCTGTCGCATAGGTCACTGATCCTCTTTAGGTCCGAAATATTTATCGGCCTCCGAAAAAACGGTCGGCGACTGTGTACAAGCGTTTTTTTATGCTTTACTGACTTGTTAAAAAAGCGCTGTAAAAGTTCCTTCAGTCCAATCTCTGAAGGCGACTTATACGGCCAGGGGGATGTAATATAGGGGGGGGCTGCTTGTTGTGACAAGTCTGAGAGCTAACTAAAGGCTGTTAAATAACTTTTTAATCAGTGAAAAGCCACATTTGGTTCCAATAGACCTTATGCAAAATTGCTTGGTGGTCTGAGAGATCATTGCCATTTTAATGTCGGCAAGTGTCGTCGGTACTGAGGCACAGTGGAGGCATCGGAGACAATCGTACAGGCAGCGTGCCAAGGTGCGGCAGCTGTGCTTTCCACCTTCTGACCATGAAATGTGGACAAACAGTTTAAACAACCTATTGCAACTGTCCGACAAAACTCTCCGCGGCCTGTGCACACTCGAGACAACCTCGTCGAAGCAGCGGAACATGTCCTACGCCTTCGCTCTGGAAACTTGCACACTGCAGGTTGTTGCCAGCGTGCACAGGCGTCCTAGAGTTTTGTCATCAGACAGTTGCGGTAGGTTGTTTGAAGTGTTCCTCCACATTCCATGGTCGGAAGGCGGAGAACGCAGCTGCCGCATCATTGCACACTTGTCGTCTGTGTTTTCGCTCCGCCAGCCTCGAGCTTGCTGCACGAGGGGTAGCTTTAGTGCACCAACAAGCTTCCTATGTGCTTCAAGTGTCTCTATCTAGAGACTTGCGATGATGCTAAGCACGAGTGCCATTATTTTCACTAATGAAAAAGTTTAAAGACTTTATTTAGCCCCCTATGACATGTCCCCTGGCTCGCCTGGACGAACCATACTAGAGTGCCCTTGTCAACCTTTTTAAGAACAATCTGTAAAAAAATGCCCTGTATAACAGAACTTCTGACGCAGCAGACATGTTATTGTAACCACCCAACTGGCAGTGCTCAAATGTTAAAAAAAAAAAAGAAAAAGTGGACAAATTGTTAGTGAGCAGCATTAGTCGTGTCTAGGGGGGACAAACGCACCCACCTCCTTTCATCTCGGCCTCGGCAAGGATCTTGTCAAGGTCTGCGTCGTCGTCGAATTCGTCCTTCTGTTTTCCGACGGGCTGCGAGTACATCAGCGATTTGGTCGTCTCAATCGACCTCATAGAACCTGCAACGACAGAGAAAAATAATTGGATTTTGGTTAAAGAGGTCTCGTGGACGATCAATGACGTCCACGAACATCATCAAATGAAGGAATAATTGGAGCAATGAGAAAGTGCTTGGTGGCCACCCAAAAATCTGCAAACAGGGTCCTCAAATCGAGCACGAGTCCTGGGCTTGTTTGCTCGAAGTGCTAACCGCGGCTAAAGTTAGCCGCAGTACCTAGGAGAGGGATTTTGAGATCACGTGTCTGGGGCTCGGTAGGGATGCGGGGAAACATGGCGGTGCCCCAGTGAGTGAGCGCCGGTCGCTTTGGAACTAATATGTCGTTGAAGCTGCAATATCGGGCGCGTTAGTCAGCAACGAATAATGCAGAAGGCATTTTTTAGATAGTGTTTCGATTTTGGGCATTCCTAAGCCTAAATGAACGCGATAATTGTCGGCATGACAACGTCTTTGGAAAGCGGATTGTTGATAGCACACAAAAGCAGACAGCGTCCCGACAGACTTTTTCTAAATTATCCAAGCATCGCGAGGAGAACGCTGGAAGTGTAATTCTTCGGTTCGCGCGCGCTGGCCTTCCTCTTATAAAAGATTTGAAGTAAAAAAATCATAATAAGGCTTTTACGAACGCGCGTGCAAGGCAAAAATTGTTTTATACTTTTTTCTTTAGAACGGGCATGCAGACGCCAGCACGTGCGACGCGTGCAACTACAGTCGTAGCATGCACCTCGGTGCTTGAATAATTTAGAAAAAAGGTCTGTTGGGACGCCGTCTGCTTTTGTGTGCTATGAACAATCCGCTTTCCAAAGACGTTGCCATGTCGACAATTATCGCGTTCATTTAGGCTTAGGTGTGCCCAGAATCGAAACACTATCTAAAAAATGCGGCGATGTTATTGCCCATGCTTTGCGGCTTAAGTGAAGTAAGGCAAAGCGAAAGCCTCCTGCACCATTCGTTGCTGACTAACAAGCCCGATATTGCAACCACAACGACATATTAGTTGCAAAGCGAGCGGCGCTCACTTACTGGGGCACCGCCATGTTTCCCCGCATCCCTACGGAGCCCAGACACGCGATCTCAAAATCCCTCTCCTAGGTACTGCGGCTAACTTTAGCCGCGGTTAGTGCTTCGAGCAAACGGGCCCTGGTTAGGGTTAAATTTTTTCAGGGATAGTTTTTTTTTCTTTTTCTCTAGATTTGGGGGCATTTGTTTTTGGTTTACAGTACACTCTCACTTGAGGGAACGTCTGTTTAACGAATATTTCATAACTACAAACTTTTAAGAAATCCCCGGCGGCTTTCCTATGCATTCTATGCAAAATTGTTTTAGTTCAACTAATTTCGGAATAGCGAATATTTCAGTTCAATGAACTTGATTGGTGGACCCAGGATTATTTTTGCAAACAAAGTTTGTGCTTTGCAGTGCTGGCGAAGCCGATGCCCACCGCCGCCGCCTCTGCAGCAGCAGCGTATCATTGCTGGCGTCTACAGCGCCATCGAGGCAACGCAGCGGTGCGTAGACTAAAACGAACCACGTGGTGTGTCTGTTTTTTCTTTGTCATCAGTTCCGTTCAGCCAGCTTATTTTTGAGTAACAACGGCAGGACGATAGTCTGTGCGCCCACTTTCGTAATGAGTACGACGAAACGGCTGAAAATCCTCCAGCGTCTAGACAACGGTCAAAGGCAAGTGGACGTTGCGAAGGACTATGGGATCCCACCGTCGACGTTGTCAACGAAAAGTCTAAGCATAAAGGAGAAACTGCGTTCAATCCCAACAGGAAACGACTCTGCACGGGATATTTCAAGCCAGTGGACAATGCCGTTGCAGTATGGCTTCGTCACAGCAACTAGCTGTGCCAGAGTAAGGGCAAAAAAAACATACTCTCTGGACAGCTTTGTTACTTCATGCACTTTAAGGGCGCCAGTACAAATGAAAATTACAGATCTTTCTTTAAAATGAGAAAGGCAGCCATGCAACTGTTATGCACCTTGTACATATCGATGTACATGACTCCATAAATTTAATTTCACACTTTTGACTGAATGTATGCTGTGTCCAATGCTGTTCCATATTCTAGAGGATATATGCAGTTTAGTGAACTTCCAATTAAGTGAACTATTTCCTTGGATCGCTTGAAGTTCGCTCAATTCAGAGTTTACTGTATTTCTTCCCACAAATTCAGTGTCGGACAAAAAAAATCTTGCAGATGACATGGGCTCGGTGAACTATGCATGAAAACCGAGAAAACGCAGGGGCAACAGGATTTTGAGCTTTGAGAAGGAAGACTACTGGAAGCTCCAAGCAACGTTAGACGAATCAGATACCTCTACTGGAAAACGCAACTTTTTGCAAAGCATGTATTATAAAATCCCGAGCAAGCATCCACTCAACATTTTGAGGTAATCGCGTAAGTACTCCTTAGGTCAAGACGTAAAAATATGTCCTTTGCGTATTTTCCGAATGTCACAAAATCGAGGGGTGGGCGCTTATTGTGGAATGGGCAGATGCTCGCTATTTTACTGTAAATCTGTTCACTGGAGCTACGAACTGCCACAAGATATTGCACGCCTGGCAAAAGCGAGATTGTGTAATGAACATTGCTTTGTGCACAAAAGCAATCTTCATCCAACAATGTAGCCCCTTTCTAAGGGTTCTTCAATTTATTGCACTAATTATAGCAATAAATTGTGCACACCTAAAATTTAGTGGTTTTTCTTAATTCCGAGCGACCCAAAAGCTTGAAAAGCAGTCCCGGTACCGAGAACAAAAGGGTAAACACAAAATCGAGCAGTAGATAATGATTTCTTTCCACGAATCTCGGACGATTCTTCGAGGACAGCTCCGACTAACGGCTTTTTCGGCTTTCCCGATTTCGATCAAACTGCCTTGGGGGTAATTTGTTCGTGTTTATCGTAGTAAATTGCAAACACGAAACACTTAGTCACAGTTGCGATAGAAACCGCGGCACAAATGACGAAGCACGTTTGTCCGAGCCAGAGGTCCACACAAGGCGAACAACGGCTGCGACGCAGTCCAGCATGCGCGGCACCCGGATCGTATGCCAGAAATCGGCGGTGGCGCCATTTGTCCAGAACACGCCCCCGACCGATCCGTCTGCCGCACGCTCAAAGATGGTCCCTCAATTTTCGCCGCACTACGTCGTGGAAGTGTTGATACCGGCCCATGCACGTGGCATCCGGTCCGTGCGCAATAAACCGACATTTGCGCCGACGCAATCGACAAGCCATACCAGTCTTGCCGTCCTTGCTCGCGGAGGTGTCCCTGAATTGTCGGCTGAGTTGGTAGTACTCGTTGGGGTGCCCGATGACCTGTGCCAGTTCGGGAGATTTCTGTGTGATGCGGAAGGTGGCGGTGCAAGCCAGCTGGTAGTGGCCCTTATCCACGTAGTCCATCACCTGCAAGTTGAAAAGACGTAAATTACCGTCTTTCCCGGTGTTCATATCGCGGTTTCTTCACGGCGATAACTGTTACGTGCACTCCCCGCACCCCCCCCCCCCCCCCCCCTCTTCCGACTCAAAACGATGTGAGGCGTAGCGCAACCGTCCTCGATGGCGCCAAACTCTCGAGAAAAAAATGTCTGCAAAATCTGCCATTGCCGCCAAAGTTCGATCCCGGGTCCGTTGAGCTCGAAGCGAGCATGCTACAACTAAGCTAAGCCCACCACCATTGGGGTCACATCGCGCCACGTCACCAGGGTCTTGCACTGTGTCTGTCAGTCTGCGTAAAATTATCGAGTGTGCAAATCTTCAAGCAGACATCTGTGGTGGCTCCTTGACGTGAGGTACCGCGCCGCTGCAGCGAGGGCTCGTCGGGCCAAAGAATGCAAGGCATCGTAGGCAACAGCTCACCGTTGTCGCCGGGAGAACGATAAGGCTCGTGAGAATAAAGCAGAGAGACTGTTCTCACGGGCACTACGCAAAGGATACATTAGAACCCGATGTGTCGCCGTGATTGTACCATTCCCCAAATTCCTGTCGGTGCATCTTATACGTATTTTTTTTTTTTATACAAGTGCGGACCTAGAATGCGCGAGATGCGGGTTGTATTGACATTTGTGACGGAGGAGGAACGGCAGGGCACTATTTTGATGGCCTGCTCTTCTAGTGCGGGCCATCAAAACCACAACGTACGCAGCAACTTTTTCGTGAAAACCCCAAAAATAAAGCTTTCCCTCAAATAAAAGAAAAAAAAAATATTTTCTTTAGTTTGTGTCAACTTGGAACATAATCCCCAGTGAACCATAGAGAAGTTCGAGAGCCCCGCACCTTATCTTATAGCCTCCTCATGTCGGTAGCAGGACGCTTTCCAACTACTGTAAACGACCTGATTCTTGCGATAACCCAATTTTCGAGAATTTTGTGACTTGCCTAACATCGCAAAAAATAGGTTTGTGACTTGCCTAACATCGCAAAAACAGAGGCTATGAGCCCGATTAACCAATTTGGCAGTCCACATACTATGCCACGTGACTTCGCACTCTACTGACCCTAAAGTTTGTGAGCTATAGGTTTACTCCGGTGGTTCGCAGCACCCGTTGCGGTTCGTCATAAATTAAAAGGAAATACGCCAAAAGCCTCAACAATAACAACAGTCGAGCTGCTGTAAGTCGCGATCTTCCATGCGAGAAAAAAGGCAACGAGGCTTACGTTGAGTTTTTGTGGGTAATTCCTGCATGAAGACGGACTTACTTTCGGCAAAAAAATGATTCCTGGATCGTTTAAACACGTCAGGGACTTTTTTGCGGAAATCTCCTCGATGCCGACGTCTACCGAAAGGAAAGAATGTGGAACTGTTGGGAAATTCGGTCAGTCTTGAAATGTCACGGGAAAAGACAGTATCCGACACCACCTACAGTAGACTCATGATCATTTACACTCGGATATTTCACACTTCTGCTGAATTCTTAATTCAAATGTATTTCAAAATTTTAGATGTTCCACTACGTTTTTAATGTATTTATAAGCCGTCTGAAGGGATGGTGAACCAAACTTTGGATTTAAAAAAAACAATGCAGGATATGTAGACGGGACGCTACAATCCCTACAACACTACTCGTAAGGCGATATCTCGAATGGACGGCCGTATTTTTGGAAAAAGAGGTAGAGATTGAACCAGGCCAACGAGGCGCATGACGTGAAGATATCTCCCGTTTCCTCCTCTCTTCGCTTCTCTCCCTCAAGGCGGTGAGGCGAAGAGGACACGAGGCCGTTCCCTCTCCTTCTCAAAGAAACATGACGTAAACATTTCTGTCAAATGCACCTCCTTTTTTTGAAAAATAAAGTCATCCGTTCGAGATATCGCTATACGAGTGATGGTTTGGTGTTTGTAGCATCCCATTGCACGCTTTTGCCGTGTGTTTTGTGGAATCCAGATTTTGGTTCATCGTGTAATTCATACTTTTTGTTCTCGCAACTTTCCGAGCACCTGCGGAGAAGCAACAATCGCGAAGCTTGCTTTCGCGGGTGTTGTTTTTCTGCAGTGCACCGGTGCTTGGTAAAGAAGCGTGCTCAACTGGGCTAACAGTCCAGAGTAAACAAGTTTCTGCTGGACGAACACACTTAATTTTGTTTTGAGGGATAAATAGACTTGTTTCATACATTTCACAGGCATTTCATTCATGGCACACCTGCCCAATATCAGTAGGCCTGTGTGAAGGAAATCATCAAATCTCTGTTTAATATGCATAGCCATCCATATAACAAATCATAATTTTAGATATATTTCCGATAATTCAAACATAACTTGCTTTCTGGAGTTTGAATTAAAGAGAAACATAAACCCAAATTAAATATTTAAAAAAAAAATTTTTTAATTCAAGGTTTTTGGTTTTAGAAATTAATTATACACCCTTACACTAAATTTGACAACCATAGACCTAATAGTTATGTTGATATAAAATATTTTCAACACATTGTGAGGCAGTAACAAAGTAAAGGAGTTCAATGTTTGAATGCATTTTTCTCAGTTCCATGTTTTTCTGTAAATTTCATACGAAGGAATCTTTTGTTCAAAGGTAAAAGTATTCTGAAGCTACAATCAAGATGATTAAAATAAGAACACCGACTTCACATAACAAGAAAAACAACTTGTTATGTGAAGTCGGTGTTTTTATCTTAATCATGACATCTCCCGGCTTTTGGACTATTTTTGCATTTACAATCAAGATGCTTCTCAACTGAAATTTACTGGGGAATTGGGCTATCGACTTCATTTTCTTTTCAGTTGAAGTCCTGATTGAGAAAAACTATGTTTTCAAAAATTGACATTGGCCAGATATGCATCTCATATTTTGAGGTAATAACTCTTCCTGATATATTTACATTTGAGTTATAAAAGCTAGATAGCCCAAAGTCCCGCATCCTCCCCACCCCTTTATATTTAAGCAGTCAGAATGGTGCTTAATAGCTTCATTTGTATATCATAGATTTCTTAATGAAGAGTGACACATCTTATGCAGGTGTGTAAAACTGTCCTAGAGAGCTGAACGTTTGCACGATACACATACATCTGATGTTAGATCTCCCCTGCAAATTTCAGTCCAATCACTCGAGTAGTTCAGAAGTTAAATCTCCAGCCAGTGTCCCCCCTTAACGAGACTGTATGCTCCATTTTCTCCCTTAAGCCGATACTGCACCCAAAGCTACAAGCGCGAGCTAGCCTGCTCTCCTGGCTTCGAAACGAGCCTTTCTAGTGCCAGCGGTCAGTTTGCAAAAAGAATGTTTTGGAGTCGCAACCTTGTGCTCTCGTGCCCGTGGTATCGGCTGCAGTCTTGGCTTGAGGGTGAACTAAGTATAAAAAAAGAGCCGTAGTGCTGAATCTTCTATGTCGCCTACCGGGAGTCAGCGTAGGGCACGCATTGAACACGAGCGCAATGTCGGCATCTGGCTGCAACTCTCGTTCAATCGGCCAAATGCAGACGCAGTGCTTGTGGCCGACCAGCGCTCGGTAGGTGACGCTGAAAATTTTGCACTGTGGCTTTCTACCTCGTCCTTCCTTCTTGGCGGGCGCCAAGAAGGAAGGACGAGGTAGTGCATCAGTTTACGTGGTGCACTTGGACCGAAGTTGCAGCGCCCCCAACGATGTACACCACAAGTATGCAAAAACACAAGCTTGAGGTTCCGAGGACAAAGACCGGGGAGCACAAAATCTGTCCCGCAAAAACCACACACACCCACCTTTTTTTACCGTTTTATTAAATTGATATGTATACCTTAACGTCATGCAAGGGCTCGTCAACGACGCTCGTTCGTGACAATTTTCTAATAAAAAATTACCCATGAAACACGTTTTGTGTTAAAGCTTGCAACGTCGATCTTACCTCTCTGAGATTGGCGTCCCTGACGCCTTCTTCTTTGAGTCTCTCTTCGAGCTTTTTGTGGTCAAAGTGCCTGAACGGACACCCTGTCAAGGACAAAGCGTGCCACACAAGTGTCACATCTGCCAAGGAATTTGCTGCGTCGCAGCGACACCGGGATCACTTTCAAACGCATTACCGAGCGTTGCACACGCGCAAGTCGAGCAAGACTCGATGCTTAGTCTCCACCAAGCTTTGTCCAAGTCGTAACAAAAGTTAGGACCGGTAGTTTCACCGTTTGCACGTGGATTTAGGCGCAATTTACGCCGGATGGCCCACAAGTCGGATAAGTCATTCCGAGGCGACCCACTGAACAAAGCCGATGATCTGAGATTTCCCCACGTATGTTTTCTTTTACTTTTTTCTCTCCTAAGCCTATACATTGTCTTTAATTTATTTTTGTTGCCGATTTGGCATTAATTCGGTTATGTTTTTGCACCCAAAAGACTGGTTCTCACACTTGCACTTGAGCACGATCGACTGCTAGGCGATCTAAGGGTGGCTTAAAGACACCACAGGGGACAGACAAATTTTTCTTCAGTGCCCCCTCAAAAAGCCGACTCCCTCGAGTTTATCGGATTGACCCGGAGGCTAGAACGAAAGGGCGCTTCGGCCGAATCGGCGCTAAATTGGTGAAAAGTGAGGAGCACCGGTTACCATGGGCGTCGCCGGGACCGGGCGGGTTGGTGGTGATGATCTTGCCGCAGCTGTACGGCGTGTAGTTTGTCCGCTTGCCCTCCGTGCCGTAGTTGTGCCGGATGTTGTAGCTGTACCTCTTGTCAAACTGGAAACGCCAGCCTCCAGTATAAAGTCTCCCGAATTACATCCAATAAACTAAAAAAATATAAGGTGGTGCTACGCAAACAGTTTAACATAAAAAAGGCACTAGACTCTTAAGGTTAGTTGAAGGGCACCCCACAACACCCAGAACAGCTACAGTAAAGAAACCGAGAACCATTGAAGAGCTAGGTAACAATATTTGATTTGTTTCGAGGAAAATAATAAAAAGGAGGATAGAGCCGTTGACATACTGAACTTCTAGCTTACTTAGGGGATACAAAAATTGTTGTAGGACATAATAGAAAACATATGCTACCTGAAATCTTATCATAAACGAGAAGTGATTAAGAAACAATAAATGATTGAAATTAAATAAATCGCACTTCGAACAGCACTTGAACTCCTGATACTTCTTTATTTTTTTACTAGGTTGTACCTTAAAAAATGTATATTTAGTTACAAACAATAGAAACTAAATATGGCTGGGTATTGATCAAGAAAGTTAGCCCAATGAACTGTAACACCTTTTTATCATTTATACCACAAGTTCTAAAACTGCATTCCTATGAACCCGGGTTCCCGAAATGTCCTCGACTGTCCCTGCCTCAAGGTAAAGCGGTTTACCAAATTGAGCACAAATTTAGCAGAACAGAGCCACTCACTAAAGCATAACTACGCACCAAACAGTTCTTGGTGGACGCATTTTTGTCGACAGGGCCTGTAGGCTCCTTTACTGATTTACTGCATCAACGCCAAGACCGGGAGGGGCTCTTCGGTTGCCATCCGAGGCAGACCGGGGTTTCTCGAGATAGAAAGATTTCAGGGCTCCTCGATTCATAGAAATAATAGTCAAATTGATCTGAAGGAACAGTATCCTGAGGCACACTTGGCGTTGGGACCGCTTCCTCGAGGGATGCCGCCATCCCAGGTAGCAAACCAGAGAAATGCCTAACTTGGCACAAGCTTGGCAATCCTAACTTGGGCCTAATGCGGTTTTGCTCCGAGGCGTTAGTTAGTGCCAGAGATGCCACGTAGGAACCAAAGAACCAGAAGTGAAGCCTAACTTTGGCACTTGCTTGGCGATTTAGGCCCAAAGATGCCAGGTGATGGCCAAACTACCAGCAGTCAAGTTTAACTTTGGCTTTTCCTTGGCAAAAATTGGGGCCAAGATTCCCAAACTCTGGCCAAAGGAGACTGCCTCGGCTTCTTCGCGGCTTTCGAAGCCCTGAATTTCGGGACCTGCTATCTGCACGGCATCAACCAGGGGGTCACGTGACACTCCAGTGACGCCACCTCCCTACGTCACGCATCTCTGCCGGCGAGAGCCACGCCACGCGACCTTCCCTTTCTTCGCGTTTTGACAATGGCCGTTATTTGGGTTTGTCGATCGTCCAGCTGATCGCTCCGCGAGCGGGTGGGCTTGGCCACCGCGAAGCAGCGTTTACGGGTGCGCTAAGTGGGTTAACATTTTTGTAATGAACTACCGCAGACTGCCGCCGCGAACACATGGGGGTGGGTTCACACGCACTCCCGTTATAGCCAACAAAACGAAAAAAAAAAAAAAAAAAAAGCAACGCGTCCCCCACCAACAGAAATGTGCAACGCAGAGAAACGACGTCACTGGAGCATTATGTGACCCTCCAGTTGATGCTGTGCAAATAGAACTCCCCCGACTTCCCGGACGAAAAACAAATTTTGGCCCAAAAACCGCAGTACTCAGGATCCCGCCAGTCCTTACGTTCTCGGCTCCGACGTGCTTGGAGAACTCCTCCCTCCAGAAGCGGAGGGCGTCCTGGAGTCCCAGCCCGACCCCCTTGAGGAAGAGCCCGTACTGCATCCGCGCCCCGTGTCGCAGGTGGTGGTTGGACCGCAGGGCAGTGTGGATCGACTTCATGCAGAGCGGGAAGGACTCCTTCGACAGCTGCGTGCCGGGGGGGAGGACGGTGTCAGCGTTCCTCACAGAACATTTCGTTATGGTGGTGTTTTATGCCAGAATGCACGACTACAGCCGAAAAAGAACAGGAACTTTCCAGAAGAGCAAATGTCCGTAAACGAAAGAACCGGACCGACGGAAGGTCTGAAACCCCGCACCACCGTGAGGCAGCCGCGTGTGCTGCCGACTCTACCACGTGCGCAGCAATACGTTGGCGGCATTACAGTCGCGGATAGAGTGAGAACAGCGAGGCACATCTGTCAAACGGCTGACCTCCAGCATATGCTCCCTGCTTCCTGCTGTGTATTCACTGCTTAAGACGTTGAAGCATTGTCAAAGGTAGCAAGCTCGTGCTGGAGGCGGAATATCTGAAGCTCCTCCCTCCAGTTCTCACCTCGTCAGTGACTATGCAGGCTGTCCCCCAAAAACTTACAGGGCTTTTTTACCGCAAGAAATAAACTATGCCTCGCCAAAAGCACGTTCTCCATCCAAATGTAGCGCCGTCGGTACGAAGCAGATGCCAAAGTTTCAGAACTAACCATTACCTTTTTTTCAAAAGGTATAATTAAATTTTTTTTAGATTTTCGATGGGAAGACGGCGGCCGACAGAGCCCTCGGATTCCCGGAACCCGTTACCAAAAGCAGGCCCCATTTTTTTGTCAAAATTTTCAGAAAGTGACTCGTAACTTCCGAACGAGACGACGGTTCTAGCTCTGTAACTTTGGCAACTGGTTTGGATCGCTAGCGCTACATTTGGGCGGAGAATTGGCGTTCGGTGATGTGCCATTTATTTTTGCAGTAAAGTTGAAGGCACGCAGACACAGTGGCGTAACTAGGGGGGGGGGGGGAGGGCAGGGGGGTACAAGTGCCCCGGGCACCACTTGGGAGGAGGCGCCGAGCCAAGTCCACCCATTATAATAATATAATGATGATGATGTCATTATCACTATCATCATGAGGGGCGTGAAATTTCATTTGCCATGGGCGCCGTCATATCTAGTTACGCCACTGCGCAGACATCAATTAATGTTGTGCTCGTAAATAAAAGTGCATTTGATAAGCAAATATATTTCGCGAAGCATGCTGCGGGGTTATTTGGACCGACGTTTGCATTCGGAGTGCAGGACGAAACCGACCCTCGCACCGGCGGGAAAAAAAACACTTAGCAGTGAAAGTATGGTGCCTGAAAAGCGTATCTGACGGGCGCGTTTATACTGCGTCCAAAACAAGTGGTCTTTTGATTTTCGCACCCGACAACATACGGAAGTGTAACGCTGTCGAGGGCTGCAATCCTGGTGGTGTCGCGTCAGCGCGTGCTTTACGCCATAACTTCTACCACCAACCATGGGGATCACGGCACCCAACGGCATGACACTCCAGCCTTTCCCGACGTCGTTCGTTGCTACTTTACGACAACTTTTGATGCGGGGCGGGAAGAACGGGATGTTGAAAACGCCGGTCGGAGGCGCGTTCCAGGCTCCGCTGTCAAAGGTTTCAAACGAGACCGCAGTTCGGACCTGGTCGATCATCTCGGGCGTGACGGCGTCCGTGGCCTGCGCCGCGTCGAAGCCGCACCCCACCTCCATCTTGGTGAGGGCACGGAGGATCGGGAGCAAGCGGTCCTCCTCATCCAGTCGGGGCAGGGCCCGGGCGGTCTGGGCCAGCATCTGCGACAGGTGCACGCGGTAGCGCGACTCTACCACTGCCCCGATGCTCTCGGCCGGCACGTATGCCTCGCCTCCCCGCAGGAATACGGCCCGCTCCGACACCAGCTTCAGCACCTCTGTGAAGGGCACCTGCGACGAGAACGCAACGTCGGGGGGCGTTAAACCCGCGTCGGGCAACGCCCTAAAGGTCCTTTCCGCCGAACATCCTTTTTGCTCCCCCGGAGTGCTCTCGAGGGAGCTCGAGGCAGCGTCGAGAGTGCTCCGAGGAATCCCCCGAGTTCCTAGGATGTCAGTTTAAGGATGCCAGAGGTCTGACGTGTGGGTTCCCTAACTGGGTTCCTAGGAGGAGTTCTTCACCCTGGCACAAGCTTGACAATCCTGGGGACCTAACTTGGAAGGAGCGCACGTTCGTCTGCTTCTTTTGCAGGGGTTGTGGTTAAGTCAGAACGCCGAGCGCCGCTTGCCTATGACTGAAAGATAGTAGGCAGACCTCAAAGCAAGCTGCCTCTAGGTCTACCCACTATCCTGCAATGAGAGCTCGGCGTTCTGACTTAACCCCAACCCCTGCAAAAGAAGCAGACGAACGTGCGCTCTGAATACGGTTTTGCTTCAAAGCGTTAGTGCTAGAGTATTTTTTTACGGCGATAGTTGTTATGGGCTCTTTCTACCACTGTAAATGACTTCCGTTGTTGATGTTGTAGTTGGCGTAGTAGGACGTCCATTGTTAACGATGCCAAATCCTTGAAAAAGAGTGCCCGCTGCTTGCGGGTATCGAACCTGGGTCTGCCGTGATCGAAGCGGAGGCGCTTCCACAGAGCTACGCCACAGCATTAACCACTTCATACCTAGGGTATCTATAATACCCGTTGCCCACTACATCCGCTCTTTGGAAAGGTACAAAGAAATAGCCGATACCAAACTGCCGTCGTAGCACTGTCAATGCCAAGAGCTTGTGCCGGAGACTATAGAATAAAAAAATAAAAGCGTTCAGAACAAATTGGTTAGACGTCTTTTTTGTTCCAAACGCTTTTGTTCACACAGCTTGCAGTGCGTGAACGCAATGCCGATGCCCAACAACTTCGCCTTGATGTGTGACAGCTATCGCTGCAACCATACTGTAGATCAATGCAGGACTGTTAAATTTTTTTTTTTGCTGTTTGTATGTTTTTTGTTGGGGGGGGGGGGGGGGGGGGGGGGGGGGGGGGGGGGGGGGGGGGGGGGCTCACCACGTAACTGCCAAAGTGCCAGAATTGAGCCAGAGATGCCACAAATGAAATGGAGAACCAGCAGTGAAGCCTAGGTCTGGCACTTCTTTGGCAATCTAGGCCCAAAGATGCCACACGATAGCCGAACAACCAGACTTGTTTGGCAGTTAAGGCCCAAAGATGCCAGACGACAGGCGAACTATCAGTAGTGAAGCCCAACTTTGGCACCCGTTTGGCAAACTAGGGCCGAGACAACCAGACTCTTGCCAAAGAAGGTCAGTTTGGCTTTACCTCGGCTTCTTCGGGCTCGGCTTTTTTCGGCCCCAAATTTCCACGGCCGTCACCGCATCCGAGTGAAGTGTTCGTCTAGTTTAAAGGGGCCCTGCAATCATATTTAGGCACCTAACTTTTTCGTGGTTTCCAGGTCTCTTGGGGTTCGGGCAAGCCAGCGGGCACGGAGAGAGTAACTAAATATCAGTGCGTCATATTTTAACCGAACGACGCGGAAACCTCCTCCACCTACGAGGGCGACCCGCGTAGGCGAAAGCGCGATATCTGACGTCTTTGGTCCTGGGCTTACTACTGGTCAGAACCGCTAAAATCTTTTTTTTAGTCGAGATACAGAATATAAGTGTCGCGAACCGTTTCAATTATGTATGAAAGTAGTTTTTGTTCGGTATATGAGATCAGAAAAGAAACAAATGCAGTTTATAAAGTACGGAAACAAGAAATGACTCGTTGACATACCCACCACCAAGCGGCGGAAAAAACGGCGCATATTAGAAAGGGCTAGTGCGATGAGGCGCTGACGAACGGCGTGCGTAGAAAGAACCCGGATGTATGCGGCGGCGCTGCGGTCGAGGACCCGACCGGTTCCGAGCGTTCCGAAGGCTTTCGGGGCCGGCTTTGCTGGCGATTTTGCCATTTGGCGGTATGGCAGCGCGAAGTGGCTCCCGTTCTGAAGTGATATTTACCCCATGTTTGCTGTCGTTTGTGGCCAATGAAGTGTTATGCCGAATTAGTCTTTAATCGTGCAGCAAATGCAATGCGAGCCGCCCTGACCGCCCGCTTCATACAGCCTATCCAACACGTGCTTTAGTGGCGCCCTCTCGAGCCGTCGACACGGAGTGCGGCAGCCGTGAGCGCTCGATGAGCTCACTATTCCTCCTCTAGTTCACGGCCGCTCAAGCCAGGACCTACTACGTCATGAAGGAGATTATTTTTTGCTTGTTTTTGTAATTCTAATTTGCCTATAACTTTTAAACTAAAGCGAAATTTGAGAAAAGAAAAGTTTCATTAAGTTCCTACGCTCAGTGCGCTCAGGATCGGTGCAAATTAATAATCAGTCAAAAAGTTGTTGCAGGGCCCCTTTAAGTGCGAGCAGATCTGAGCCACTTATTGAAGCATAACTACGAACCAAACACTCTAAGGTATGTAGATTATCATTTACAAATTCACGAGGTCGGTTGGCGAAAATGTTATCGCATCAAATAGCCATTGCTGAGCAGATCCGCCCCTGAGTGCAGCGGTTGATCGCTGGGCTCCCAATCTTGGGGTTCTGGGCTCATTTCATGTTCAGGAACATTCAGAGTTTTAATTTTCTTCTACCTTTATCCACTTATCGCCATCGCCCTACCGCACGTGAGCGTTTGTTTTGCGTTACGCAACAAAATTACCCCAAAGGGCTGCCAAAAAGTAAATAAATAAAACGCCATTGCACTTAAAAAAAAAAAAAAAAAAAAAAGACGACAACCTTGTACACGTCCATTGTCTCTAGCTTCGTGGCCGTGAGGTCTCGAGATGAGTCAATGATGTCTTCCGCATGTGCAGCCTTCTCCTCGGCAGAAATCTGAAATAAAGACATCACCAGTTTGCCCCTTTAGCCGCACAAATCCCTTCGCTAAACGTCTCGCAGGGTACCCATCACCGGTAAAAAGCCATTCAAGCAGTCGTGTCTGACTATGCTTAACATCATTGCGGGGACTTGCGCCGAGATACAACTGCGAGCCACTGGAACATCCACGCATAGTACCATGCACAATCTGTTTCAAATTCTCAGTTTGAGTTTTTTTAGGTAAGAAACAGCATGGGTGTGGCACCACGAGCAAACGCAAACGTTCCTTTGAATGACAACGCTATACTTCGAGTGACAACGACACAATCCAATAAAGTCACTGATGCGGTGCCAAAAGTGCATCGTCATGGTGCTCGTCTGTGCGTTTGTTATCACCGACTAAACCAGTCACGCACAGGAGAGCCATGCATATCCGTGGATTGCTCGCGGATCATCTGTGGATATCCGCAGTCAACTGACGGATGCGGATGAAAAGTAATCAGATTTGGCAGATTGCGGATCGGATGAAGATCGGATCGGACCTACATTTTTGCAAAGGCAGTCCATAAACGTGTGTGATCTCGGAGTGCAGAACGAATGAGTGAGTAATACTATGAAGTGCATCGTCGAATGTTCTCCCGGAGCAAATTATTCTCTTTGAGAAAAAAAGGTGCCAATAGGAAAGAAAATGGTTTCTTTATGCCAAGAGAGACCAGATTCTCACCAAGGACAGCTTTAGAGCGTTCTATCTTGCCAAAGATGCGGTCCCTAGAAAAACTAGAGAGAGATGGCATTGAAGAAAGGAGAAAACGTTGGTCGTTATGCGCCTGTGTGGTATCGCGTCACTGTCGTGAACGCAGGACATGGGTATCAATTGTCCCGGAAAAGAGTGTTCTTGTTTGACTAAGAAAGAGTGGAAAACGTTCTTCGGCAAAAAGAAAAACACTCAAGCCTTTCAAGCCACAAGAAAAAAAGGGAAAGAAGCCTCCATCCGCCCTCCTTTCCTCCGATCTGGTTTGCAGTGCAGTTTTGTGTTCCCGCTCAAAGGAGACGTCAAGACTAGGTGGAACAGCAAGTTAGTCGTGTTCTCGTTTATTCTTCGGTAGTGGACCAGCTCTGTCTGACAGAGAAAGGCAAAACAAGCCGCGTCGACGAGATAGAGAAAGGTAACTTGCAGTGTCTCGTAAACTTTCTACATTCCCTCATGATGGCGAGTGATGCCGTGAGGTCGTTGTGCCGTCCAACCCTCTATTTGGTGAGTCGTGTGGTAGGTGCTTGAAGACATGTGCTCACGTTTCCTTCAAGGAAGACGGGAACTGCGCAGTGTGCACAAGGTTGCTGTGCTTCTACACTCGAAACTAAAAAGCATACGTCTGCTTGACAAGTCAGACAGGCATTCCGTACACAATGACACCCAGAAGATGATCGCGGCCGCCAAAGAATGCTAAAAAAACATCAACACCCTCCAATTTTTTTTTTTTTTTAGGCGATTTAATGTGGTGTTAGACTACCCAATTAATATTCTTAACTGCTCAAAAATGAAACACAAGCACGGAAACTCGTGGACGGAAATCAAGTAGCTACACCCGACCGCATTATCTTTTTTCCTGCGCTTCTTTAGCGTGTTAAGCAGATGACGAAGTTGCATGCACCATTTGTCGTGCGATTGTCTCACACTTGTATCCCTTCCCCTCGATGTTCCGCGCTTGGAGATAGATTGGCCGGTACCACGAACAACAGCTCTGAAGTAGGAGCCCCCTGTCCGTTGCAATGTTGGTCCGTCGTACACCAAAATCGCGTCGTCTAGCTTGTGGCATGCCGCCATATTCAGAATGACATGTACCATAAAATACCAAGCAGGCGCGCACTCAGATTTTGAAGATAATTGCAAGGTTATAAATTTTACATATATATGTACTGTGCATATTTTTTCACATATTTAAAAATATTGGGGTGGGCGCTTAGTGTGGAATGAGCGGATGAACGGTATTCTAAGGGTACATACATGTACTACCTGTAATCTGTACAACACTTTTTTTTTTTTCAGTCAACCTATTTGAAACTTTTGGAGGTGACAAAAATGGGTTTCATACTCGTTTCTATTTTTAAAAATGAATGTGTGTTTTAGATGACCCACGACTTTGTGAATACATTTTCTACACATAGTTTGAACGCCACGTGACCATGGAAAAGAGAGCGAGTGCGACTGAAACTGGCCAGTTCTCGACCAGCCGTTTTTGGGCAGAAAGAAAAAACATTTCGAGCCGCAAATTATGTTTTGGGCAGCTGGGTTCTTAGAGGTTGTGCTCAAATAAAAACCTCGGTGAGCATAAATGCCCTGCAGGTGCCCCTTAAAGGGCAACTCCGCTTAATTTCAAAAATTTTGAGATAGTGGCTGATTTTGCTTTTTGAAGCACTCAAAAACAATCCCCAATCCTTTGTTTCGCGAAAAATAAAATATTTTTCGTGTCATTTTACTCTAGCCATGATCACAAACCGAAACCGAAACGGTGGCAAAGCCGTACAACATTGTATATTCGGCATCACTAAGCATGTACACCCACGTGATATACAAGGGGAAGAAGGAGCTCCCCTCTTATCAGGATCCTCCTTTGTGCCTCCTGGATTAGCACAGGCGACGCTATTTTCCTCCCAGAAGATTATAGAAGATTAACCTGTCACTCAAAAATCTTACAAAAGCAGCTTCCCTCTCCTCCTTTTACTTGGTGTTCAAAAGTACGCGATGTAACACAAGCCGCGCTCAACGAGGCGATCGGCTTATCAGTAGCCGGGCCGGCCGAGCGCGTCACTCACGTCTTTCACGGCGCTGGCGCTACCCGTGCTCTCCCCGGAAAAAAAAACAAAATTGAAAAAAAAAAAAAAAGCTGTACATGCTTGATGACGTCGCGGACGTGCCGGGAGAAGGAATTTGGAGGAAGCGGAAATGCAGCCGGGCAGTGTTGTCTGGCCCGCACGTCTCATCCAAAACCAGCGGATTCGTGCTTGTCAAACTTTGACAGCGATTTTAATGAACTTCTAGGTGGAATTCCGTCGTAATATTTGCCATGGGGGCTTTGTAGATGATAACAAAGAGAACTGTATAGTTTTGCACTACTGGAAAAGAAGCGGAGTTGCCCTTTAAAGTGAAAGATGGAGGTCTCGTCACGAGGTTATCACAGTTTCAGAATTCCTTTCAAAGAGGGAAAACATCCGAAGGACGGGGGCACCCTATCTGATTTGGAGGACACCCATGACAAGGTAGCAGACACGGCAAGTGATTGAGTCAAGGAATACATTGTATACAAGTGGATCCAGGAGAGTGAATTCAATCTTCTGGTGTGGTGGAACTTGCACCAACACGAGTTTCTGTACCTCACTTATGTAGCGCAATTCGTGCATGCCATCCCAGCATCAAGAGCACCAGCAAAGACTTCTCATTAGCAGCCCTTGTAATTCAAAACAGGTGAGCCAGCCTCAATACGTCCATCGTTGACAACATTCTGCTCCCACACAGCAACCTCGACAAGTGAAACATGGCGCGTGTTTTTGCTTTGTATTTCTCAACAGTCGGCAAGTTGCTGCTAAGTATGTGGTTCGGAGCACACACTTGCAGGTTGGTGCTGTCGTTATTGAATATTGGGACCTTCTTCTACTCGCACCCTACTACGCATATACGAGTACTTCGGTTGCAGTGAGTGATTGCCTTTCCTCTTTGATTTTTTTATTGTTTAACCTAAATAAAATGATGCAATGTTATTAGCCTGTTCTTTGTTAATTTTTATGCATAAAAAATATGCATCTACTTGAAGTGAGTGTTACAAAGCAAAAAAAGAATATATAATAAAAATTTCCTTTCTTTTTGGTGCATCCTCTGGGCAGAGTGTTGCATACTCCCAGGACAATCTCATAACTGCAATCATATTTCCAGCGATACAAAGTGCCCCTGGAAGCATGATAGCTTATAATATAAATATGATACAAGAGTACAATAAAAATGACTTTCACCGTATTCTGACTCTACTAACAGTTGTTCGTAGAGTCGACTCTCAGTAATTCAAACTCTTTTAATTCAAACTTGCGGATAATTCAAACTAACATGCAGGTCCCATCCTATGCATCTCCATGGGAGGAAAGACCTGATAATTCAAACTTTGCTTTATTCAAACAAATTTTCGGCCCCCTCGAGTTTGAATTAATGAGATTAGACTATACAAAGATAAGCAAATGGCTTACACAATGTACCATCCAGATGCTTTTTTTTCTACATTTATGTTTGGTTTTATGATGTAAAATTAATACACAAATTGTGTGTTTGATGCGATTCAATTTTTGCAGACGCATCTCGAATGCAGATGTGGATGTGGTTCGGGTGCGGATAAAGTCTACGGATTCAAATGACCAAACTGTTATCCGTGCAGGGCTCTAAACGCACAGTGAATGGTTTAACCAACAGCAATATGGCCACAAAAAATAAAAAAAAAAGACTAACGTGATAATGCACTTTTAGCGTTGCTTGATTGGCTTCATCGGATCATAAAGTCAGCTGCAGGCAGACTTAAAGTGAAATGGACTATAGATCGGCTAGATCTTGTTGGCTTCGGGAGGCTACGGGGACCTAGAGTGAGCTCTCGTAGCAATGCCTTTGTGCCCACTGTGGCTTATGTCCTGGCCCCAAGTTTGTATATTATAAAGACGCTCCTCCCCTCCCCTTTCTAACGGCACCTTCTCTTTCCTAGAGTTTCCTACCAGAAAATCCTCGAAACAAGTCCCTGACAGGGGGCACCAGCTCTTCCTAAAGAGGTTGATTCAAGAAGCCGCTTGGCATGTGGCATACATTCAAAGGAAGAGGCGCAGCTTAGCAAACACGCCGAGTTGTTGGAAGTCGTTTAGTGCAGAATGTTCGTAAAAACATTAAGGTGCTCCTTTGATGCACCCTTCCGAACGTCCCATATGCCGAACGCAGTAGCATCATACTTACAAAACAGGGCATCGTGACAGTGCGGCGTCTTGGTGTGAAGCCAAAGTGTCACGTGCCCTCGTGTTAGACCACAACTTGACGCCCAACGTTACTAACCTAAAAATGCCATAGACCATCGTAATGTTGCGCGACACCACAACTTCTGTCTATGACGTCACGGCCTGGTGTGGCATGACACACGTCATGCGATCACATGACCGCGTGACCCCTAGCGGAACCAGCCAGGTAACTCATTGCGGTGTCCCACTACAGTTGGCAGGACGCCAGCCCCAACCTTAGCTGAACATGGGCCCACCGAATTTAGCAGGTGAAAGCACAGTTCAGCGGCAACACAAATCTTAACTTCGCTTTCGTCAAGAAAAATTCATTCTGCATTGAAAAGCCAAAACCCTTACGGCTTTGAAGTCCATTTTGGAGTCTCTGAAGAAATCCTGGAGTCCCGCCTGGCTTTCGTTTTGAAGTCGAAACCGAAACAGATCTATCTCCATGCCGATGAACCAGCGACGAAGATCCTGGCTGATGAAACGTGCAAACACAACAAAGTGAAACGTTAACGCTCCCATTCTGAAGGTAGCTAAAGTTGCCTGAAGCCTCAAGCGACACTCACAAAACTCAAATCCCTTTTTTGCAAAGATCAAACTAAACTTTCACATCTGTCTCCTCGAACACCTGATTTACGAAAAAAATGGCAGATTCTGTGGAACGAGTTAGATTTAGTGATGCAAAACTATCGATAAATCGATTATCGATACTATCGATAGTTTTGGAAAAACTATCGATAGTGTCGCAGAACTATCGATAGTCGACTATCGATAGTAGTATTGATAGTACTATCGATAGTTTTTCGATAGTCGACTATCTATAGTTGTTCGGTAGTCGACTATCTATAGTTTTCCGATAGTACTATCGATAGTTTTTCGATAGTCGACTATCGATAGTACTATCGATAGTCGACTACCAATAGTACTATCGATAGTTTTTCGGTAGTCGACTATCGATAGTTTTCCGATAGTACTATCGATAGTCTTTCGATAGTCGACTATCGATAGTTTTTTCTTACTACCGATAGTCAGATTTTTGGCGGCTGTGGAGACTATCGATAGTACTATCGATAGTTTTGCACCACTACTAGAGCGAACACAGTTGCCACACCGCCGCTCGCCTGCCCGTCCTCCTCTTTTCACCCAAACTCCCGACTTCGTCATCACTGAAAGCTGAACCAAAATTGGGACGGTAAGTGCTTGGGCTAGTTGGTGTCCCATTTGAAAAAAAAAAATAAAAAATAAAGCGAGAGAAAGAGAAAAGGGAACGACGTAAACTACTAGTGTCGGAAAACTATCGATTGTAAACTGTCGACAGTACTATTGATAGGTTTACGATTGTCGACTATCGATAGTTTTCCGATAGTCGATTAACGATAATTTTCTGATAGTCGACTATCGATAGTTTTTCCATAGTCGACTATCGATAGTACTATCGATAGTTTTTCGATAGTCGACTATCGATAGTACTATCGATAGTTTTTCGATAGTTGACTATCGATAGTAGTATCGATAGTTTTTCGATAATCTACTATCGATAGTCAGACTTCTGGCGACTATCGATACTATCGATAGTACTATCGATAGTTTTGCACCACTAGTTAGATTTGATTAAACTACAGGTTGACTCGCTTTACACTTTCCTCGATTGAGCAGACTGTGCATTCTAGTTTCCTGACATTGCACATGGGAATTTTCTGTGAAGGTACACTTGGGTGCACTTATTAACCTGGCTAAAGAAGTGAAAAGCTAGCTTCTAGAATTAGACAATTAGCAATTAGACAACTAAAAGAATGTGTTGTCTGGTTTACTGTTCTCTTTTTTTCTTTTTCACAAGGGCCAGCAGCTTTTGCTATTTAAAAAGACTTGGAGATTTTTCGCTTCAACGAGCAAAACAAGAAATGAGAATCCACTCACGTTTGACAGAAGGCCAGCAACAGGATGAAATGAGAAATGTTATCCTTGCGCAAAATGGCGGCACCGGCACTGTCTTCGGGTACCTGAATTTCGGGGGGGACAAAAAAACATGTAGCCAAAATTGACTAGGGTAGGTTATTGTACATTATCTGGGCAGCCCCGAGGCAAACACAATTTCAGAAATGAAATATTTCATTTCTGAAATTGTGTTTCCGAAGATATGAGGCATTTTCCCTGCTACCTTGTGTAGTATTTTAGTTAAACAAGTTTACTTTAATTTAAATATTGCCCTGGAAGTTGTGTAAAATGGGTCTGTGAGGTTTATTCCACACATATACTTTTTAAACAACTTGCTATGTTGTGGAAGCCATGTCTCCACATGGACGCAGTCAAGTTTAGAAGGTGAGCACGTTGGTGGAATTGCATGTTACTGAAAGAATAAACACGGGGACGAATGCAGCAAAACCTCTTTTGGCTTTCAACACAAAGAAGTTTGTCTATGTTGAAAGTACAAAGATGTGCCGTTGTGCCTATTCATTCAATAGCATGTAATGCACCCAATCTCTGGCTTTTCTCCTTTTCCTGGTAGAAGTATCACTGAGGCATCCAATAAAGGGTATAAATGTGTTAAATATGGCTTAAACTATATTTTATCTCCAACATTTTCTGCAACAATTGGTTTCAAAACTAAAAAAAGTTTTAAGTGTCATTACAAACCGTGCTACACCATTTCCATTCACTCACATGCGCAGCGAGGTCACTGAACTGATTGGATCGTCGAGTTGGATCTGTTCGGGCGCATTGGTTGTTTACGTGAGATTGTGACCAGCTTGAATGCTTCTACCTCGCGTAGATCAGGGGTGCCGAGGCAGGACTAGAGTGTGGCAAATCGCAAGCGCTGACGTCTGTGATCCTCAGAGGAAGAATAAGTAAAGGAATGACAGAATATCCAAAGGAAACCGATGCAACGCTAGGCATGTTCATTTTGCCACAACCGATTGTTTACCTTTTACACTGCAAGCTGCCGGCGTTGTCTCATGCAATTAAGCAAAAACAGACTAGGCAATGACCATGCAAGTGATGGCTTGCTAGCTCTTTGTCTTCATTGAAATCTTACCAGCAACCTAAGCTCCACCAGTGGCTATCGCTGTGTGTGCCCTGCCGCTCCGAGGCAGCCGAAAGGTACAGGACGGCGGCGAACGTCTTCCTTGCTATTTGTGACATCGACTCCGTTGTACGGATAATGCGCCCGACCTCTGTCGTGTGTTGTTTCCAGAGCTAAACGGTGACAGTAGCGACTGGTCGTCGGAAAACTCAGTCGGCTCGTCACGCTTGAGCAGCGGCCATTTTGAGCAACAGACCGTCTCCGGCGAGTTGCTCCAAAAATGCGAGTCCATCTTCCGCTGTTTTGATTTCGAGTGCGTCTTCGCAGAATGAATTTTCGCCTCCCTCGCAGATTTTGAAAGTGCTCTGGATCAACCAGCGAAATTCACCGAAAGCAACACACGTAGTGCAAGTGCCAAGTTCCACAGGATATTGTGCACTAAGACGACTTTAAAAGCAAGCATGTCTCCCATAGTGAAGCATAAAAAAAAGGCCAACGACAGGCTGCCATTTAGCCACACATCGAGGAGCCATCCGATGGAGCCGCTTGTAGCTCAGGCGAGGATAGGACTTCATCTGGCAGCTGCAACATGCACAGTGCCTCTGCCTAGATACCGGGTGCTTCATATAAAAGTGACAGTATTTAAAAAAGAAAAAAAACAACAACAGAACTTGAAATAAAGACACGATTCGGTCGCAATTACGTTGCCTATGGCGGCAGACGTAAGGACAGAAGTGTAAAGTGCTTATTAGATACTTAATTAACAAAAGGTCACTAATTACTTATACATTTTTATTTATTAGTGATTTATTTGCGTTCTTGTATTAGCTGGACGCCACTACATCATGTGACTGGGATACAGTCTCGATTTCAAACATGGCCGGGTCTTCCGTCGTTTGGTAGCCATTATACCCATGCTGCTCATCCCACCGCGGCTCGCATTCCTTGTGGATCACAGTTCTGGAACCTCGTTGTGGATTATAATTATAATTCAACATGAAGTGAAGCAATAAAAAATTATATTCTTAAGAGGATTCAAAACCAGAACTTCGCCGAAATCACTAGCAAGGAGCGACGTACGTGCGCAGCCTCCTGTTTTTCACCACCATTTGGGGTCGTATATTTTCGCGGGTGTAATATTAAGAGGATGATGTATTTTCCCTAAAACCAACTTTACGGTGGCAAGTTTCTCAGCAGAAACTTGAGTATGCAAAAGCGATTCATTCCATTTATATTTCCAGCCTTCTCGTCCTTTTTCTGCGAGTGGATCAGCAATTTTCTGGTCGAAGCAAAAACATATTCGTGGCTTGTCATTTGACGATCGTATCGGGACGTGGTTCAACTAAATGAAGTTGCAAACAATTCCCTCAAACTAACCCCTCTAGCACAACGTACGGTAGCACAAACATGCGGTGTCGGCGTGTAGCTTGAAACCAAAAAGCCGTCTGCGGTGTAACAGACGACGCTAGAGCTCAATGAGGTTGACCATCTTACAAATATCTGAGCATAATTTCAGACGTCATCCTTCGACGCGCGTGTGTGACGTCATTTTGGCGCCGCCATTAGGGCGATGTCCGACAATCTGGCTTCGCCCATCAAGTCCAGTCTATGTTGCCATCTTCTGCCGAGAACAAAAATTTCCCATTGGTTACCTATCGTGACGTATTTGTGGAACTGAGATGGAAGCTTCTTGGGAAACCGAAATTATCTTTTTTTACTCTAATAAATGAATCGGACCGATTGAACAAACGGATGTGGCCTGTATAAACAACGACAAGGATTCCAAATAGACATAACTCAGAATTTCAAAAAAAGTTGAGACCCCTTTAATGCTATTAGTACGAGAAAAGCTAAGCCTATATTTTAGTCACTAGATGGCACTAAATTTCGGAAGGGGTCTACTAAAATGTCCATGCCTACCAAAAAAATTTTTTTTATTTTTTTTTTTATTTTATGGAATAGAAGTATGTGAATGGTGCTCGATAGAGGCCCATTAATATCATATTACATTTTATTCTGGCTATTAACAATCGCACTGCAAAAAGTCAGCAAAAAAAATAAGCTGTTGTAAGAAAAAAATGTCTAATATCTTCCTGTTCACCCTAAAGGGTGAACAGAAAAATATTAAATGGCAAGAAAAAAGAGTAAAGTATAAACTCACATGGCCAACGTAGGCGTGTAGTTTCTGCCTGCGCAGATCAGCAACCACGGAATCGCGGTACTCCTGTGAAAACTTGTTGAACTTGGCTGCAGCGATCTCAAACGCACGCAGAACTGTAAAGCAAAAGGAAGGTGTTGCAAACCCTGATGGACGCCCAACTGACAGTTGTTGAAAGCTTCAGAATCAACACACGTTGGTACATCTACCGACAGACAAGAAAGCAATTTTTCACACACTAAAAAGTTAAAACAAAACTGGCTTTTATGATTTGTTGGCTTGAGCAGGCAGTATTTGGATAGTGGCATCAGCTGTTGCTGGATTCAGACTGCATTTGTGGTTAAGGAGTTAGAACAGTGGTTCTCAACCATCGATGTTTCGCGGACCCCTTGTGGATTGGCGGAGATGATGGAGGACCTTGTTCGCGGTGAGGGGAGGGGAAATGTATATGTTAATTATAATAATTAGTGAACAAATGGATATAACACTCCACCGATTTTTTGAGCTACCTCAACTAACTATATTTTCTCACTCCCCGGCCTTTAGCCTTTCCGGTATGCTATTCAGCATCGCGAAATTCATAATAGGTATTGTGAAATCGGCAAATGAAAATGGTGCAAAAACCAATATTCAAATATTCGCACACTTTTCAGTGCCGTGACGTCAGTGGCAGGCAGGCTTGCCAGTCGAGCAAGTAGTCTAAAAATAGAATCTGCCAATCATTTGTTCCGTGCTGGAGCGCGGATACGGGAGCGAGCTTCCAAAGCACTCATTTGACACCAAAAAACTGCTTCAAATCCGTTGGGAACAACTTCTGTAATCCAAAAAGTTAACCCCTGCCTTCCACTGACATCACTTTGTTGTTGTTGCCAGTAGAGACTTTCAGTTTGAAAAACATGGTGAAGACCAAAACTGTAAATTCAATAACTTTGCGAAAAAACAATATTTTGACCTAATATTTGGGATACTATTTTAGCAATGTTTGTTGGTTAGTTTAGCAAAATTTCAAGCAAATCAGAGACAATGAAAAAAACGGTGGAGTACTACAACGAAATTTCGGCACTCATTTTTTGGTCTATATGTGTTCAAAAGAGCAGTATCACATGGAACATACCAATACCTTGTTAAAAAAGTCTCGAAAAGGAATTTTAAAACGAATTAAACGATTAGCAAAGAGCACCTGGTGGATGTCGCTAACGCCTCGTTTGTAATGCTTGTCTAGGAACCTTGACAGCTAGTGACGGAGGTTGTCTCGTCTCCGGCCACGACGAGAGAAGGGGAAGGAGGAACTCCCCTCTTCCCGAGAATCCCTTTTGTGTGTCGCAGAAGTCCCTATTGTCCCCCTAGAAGATTATAGAAGATTAACCCGTCACTCAAAATTCGTACAAAAGCAACCGCTTCGGTGGCTGGAACGACTAGGCCATCCTCTCGACGTCAGCCTCGCCGTAGCTTTGCTCGTCTTGAGACGACCTACGTCACGATTGCGTTGGATGTCACGTGCTCTAAGCTGGGCCTTCTCCGAGCGCTTGCCAGAGTGGGCCGTTTAGAACGAAAAATACAGCCACCAGGATCAAAATAAAAACGTGCGATTTTCATTTACGGATATTGTGGATCATATTCAACCTATTTTTGAACACGACGGGAATATTTCAAATTTCGTTGAAGTATCCCTTTAAAGCAGACCTGTCATATTGGCATACACACAAGAAAACTCGCCTGAAAACTGAAACATATTTCTTCTCGACCTGAGAAAAGACAACTTTTACTGCCGGGCTTGACTCGCGGACCCCAAAGGGCCCGCGGACAAACCACTGGGTTAGAGAATCAAACGGCCCAGACATCTTCCCAGACATCTTCATATTTGCCTTGACCACTGGCTGTTGGTCGCAGTATTCTATCTTCAAACTTGTACTTTGAATGCTGGACGTGCTCAGTGAGGTAAAGGACAAGCGCTCCGACCTGCACGAGCCAATCAGAGGCACCGGAATAAGGCACATGGCAACATACTGCTAGAGTGGACTCCCGCTGAGGAAAGCTGCCACACGTTTTGCTCCGGTTGGCTCACGCGGGCCCCAGCCTTTGTTCTTTGCCTGGTCATGCTGAAAAAGAGCACAGAACTAGGCTACACACAGGCTGCCAGCACTAGTGCCAGCGTCGGTGCCACGGGCAGCTTGCCTTTAACATGCAACATGGGGCTGCACAGGAACTTGGGCAGGTTAGTGGAATATAGTAATATTATTACTAGTAATAATAATATTTTACTGCCAATGTCGTGGTGCACGGCGGTGTCGACGGGCCCATCAAAGCCTATATTATAGGCTTGTGGTACAGGGACCCGCAAAATCACCAAAAAACAAAGTAGAGAAAAAAATTCACACAGGATAAACACGCCTGCACTTAAAACTGAATTCAAGGCAGATTCAACACAAAATAAAATTTGAAAGAGAAATCAGCTACACTGAATCCAACATAAGAGAAAGGGGCCATTTTTTCACCTTCGTTCAAGAATCGAGAAAAAAATGCAGGTCCTGATAACTGATTGAAGGTATTGGGAACATAGTAGGTTGAAGCCTTCATTAATATTATTTTAGTAAGAATAATAATAATGATAATATCAATATTCTACATAATACTCCATTCACCCCTACGCTGGCAGTGCGGTGGAAGCTACAAGCATTGTCTGACCAATCAACCACCTCCTTTGCGTCACCTGACCCTCCTCTCTGCGTATGGGTATGGGTGGGAGCGCAATTGTGTGGCAAGAAGACACTGGATTTTCCGGGCAATCGTGTACACCCGGTGCATGGTCACCGAGGCCAATATTGGCTCAGCCATCGAGCAAGTCAAGCAATCAATTTCTTTTTTACTCGGTACTGGTTGCTTTACGTGCGTGCCAAGCAAGCAGGGCTGATTATTCTATGTTTCTGAGCTTCAAAGTTGGTTTGCATGCACTTCGTTTCGCTTATTCACCCTTTTGTCGTCGTAATCATTAGTGTGCGCCCTTTTCCCCGATGGATGCGGTTTCCTGCCCTCGCTTTTGCCGATTCAGAAAGGGTCCCTGAAACAACAGTTGGTCGAGAACCACTGCCTTAGACAGACTGCACCCCGTGTGCAGTCCGAATCCTCTTGTGCAGCAGACCTTGAAAAATGCTATTTCTCTATTAGTGCACAAAAATAGGCTTGTATCATACAGAAATCATTCTGAAAGGTGCCCTGATTAGGTTTCTGAGATCGCCTAAATATGGCGATAAATCACTGTGGGCTCTAATCATTCTAGAAATCCATAAATCATAAGATGCACGGCTGATTTCCCTACTATAAAGGCAATCAAAGATTGAACACACCGAGATCATCCCCGGCAATAAGAAGGGCAGTGTTCCAGCAGCCAGGACGACATGTGACCAATGAAAATGTGACATCGCGTTGAGACTGCAAACGCTGTTACTAGAAAATGTGTATGCTTTTGTAGATGATAAAAGCAAATAAGAGTAGTTGAAAAATGTTAATTGGTTATGGGGAGGGAACATAATACTGCAATGATCGGCTCAAAAACAACACATGTTCTTTTTTTTTTTTTTTTTTGTCTTTTGCGGCAGTGATGTGTCTGGTCGTCAGCTCTCAAGCGTGTGCTCGCTGGGTTGAATCGTAGTCCGGGCTTTATAGGCAACAAGCCACGCGCATTCGAGATATCACTCTGCAGTTCCAGCGGACGGAGGCGCGAGGATCCTTGGCTTGCTGCTGGCTACAGTGGTCCTGGTTTCAGAACATGCTCCTTTCATTGGCAAAGATGACCTCGGTGTGTTGCGATCTTTGATTGCCCTTTTAAGAGAGAAATCAGCTGCGTAATGTCATGATTTAGGGATTTCTAGGATGCTTAGAGCCAGCAGGATGAGTTATTGCAATTTCTAGGCGATCTCAAAAACCTCTTCGGGGCACCTTTAACATAATCTGTCATTCACAAAAATTTGTCCCGCCTCGTTGTATGGGCACGATCTTGAAAAAAACTTATCCTCGTATACTGTGCATCAGGTAAAGTACCAGCTTTTAAACATGCATAGTCGTAAGACTACGGTAGATGCACGACTGGTTTAAAAAGTATGTAGCTTAAATGAACAGAAAAAACTCGAACCATCTAAAATTAGAAAATACAACATGTCAAGGCCAGCTTTGCCCCTTGACCACAAGCGACTGTTTATGTCCTTGTCATCGTGTTCCAAGCAGGGACGGCGCCAGGCTTTTCTTAGTGAGGGGGCAGTAGGGAGGCGCACGGCATTTTTGGGGAGGCATGAGCTTTCGATCCGACTAAAAGAACAAACATCCAGGGACGATGACTTGGCACTTCGGGAGTTTTTAATAGAAACCAGCTCAGTTTATTTCATTATTTTACAACCTATGTACAACTCTGGTTAATGTAGCATTTCACCTGCAAAATATTCAGGCATGTTTACATTCCGCAATACTAAATAAGCACGCTCACGCTTGTCGTGACTCATCATCTGCTCTTTAGGCAGTCCCCTAAAACCGGAGCACGTCAGCGATCATGTAGATGTAGTGACGATTATCCCTTCTTTGCTGAATACGCCTGGCAAAGGTACACGGCGACTGATTTAGCCGCGCCACTTTTCTCATCTCCTTGAAGGAAGCCGATATGTTTGGGACATCTTGCGTGCCGCACTGTTGGAGTGGCGTCGTAGTCCGCCTTCCTTCTGAAGAGCTTTCTTCCAGTTTCGATAGCCCTTTGTCAAAACGCAGCACTTCCACTGTTTTCCTTCCTCCCTCCCTCCCTACCTCCCTCTCTCCCCCCCTCTCTCTCTTCCCCCCCCCCCCCCCCAAATACAGAAACACTTTCAGCTTTCCTCCAACCTCTAGGGATAGTCCCTCGACGGGACTCCGTGCCTGCCCCAGGGTCACTAATGATGGGAGCCTGGCAGTTCTCGAACCGCCAGGCTCACCAAAGTTGCTTCAAGGACCCCATAGAGACTTGAAATAAGCAGGATGACCTAGCTAGACACATCAAAGCCGCCCCTTGGGAACCCGCCAGTCGGCCCGAGCGTGTCAGGACTTTGGGAGATTTCCTCGGTCAGAACATGAACAGTGCCCTTGAGTTCCTTTGTCT